CACCCATTCAGGAAATGATGACCTTTGTGCAGTTTGCCAATGATGAATGTGATTATGGCATGGGGCTCGAGCTGGGACTGGATCTTTTTTGCTACGGTTCACACGTAAGTAAAAAACATTTCCACCTCTCACCCACCACCAAACCCCCTTCTTTTCCTACATGTACATTTATACCCAAGTTCCAGCATAGGTAGACAATGAATTTAGCTTGTATGTCAAAATGAACTTTTATTTAAAAAAATTTATTTGAAAGGCACAGTTACAGAGTGAGGGACAGAGAGAGTCAAAGATCTTCCATCTGCTTGTCATTTGCAATGGCTGGGGCTGGGCCAGGCTGAAGCCAGGGGTGAGGAGCTTTATCCAAGTCTCCCACATGAATGGCCAGGGCCCAAACATTTGGGCCATCTTCTACTTCTCCCAGGCCGTTAGCAGAGAGCTGGATTAGAAATGAAGCAGTTGGGAAATGAACGGGCACTGATACGGTATTTAATTGCCACAGGCAGTGGCTTTACCTGCCACGTTACAACTAAGGCCCCAAAATGAACTTTTTGAAGTGATTTTTAAGCAGCTATTCGAAAAATATCCACTTGAACTTCATTTTGTATTTGGGCAGTTGTGAGTAACCAAGATAATTTGCCTTTGGGTTAACATTACACTGAATTTATTAGACATATTATAGAGCTCTCTGCTTAAGTTTGGTCTGGATATATGGCTGTGGGTATGCACACACACCTTTCCTTAGGCTCTGCTGCTTCTCCATGTGGAAGAGGGTATTTCTTATGGTGCTCAGACTCTTCAGATGAAGAATATTATTTTAAACATCCTTTAAATTTAAATATAGGAGTGGTTTATCATGAACTATTCATGCATTAACTAAGAAAAATTTTCTTAATATCTTTATCGGTGCCTATTCTACCGTAGTTGCCCCGAAATCAAAATTAGGCAATAAGGTGTGGTGACTATAACATGCTTCTGGGGCTGTCTATTTAAAATCACATCTTCCCTAGCTGTTACCTGTTTCCTTACCTGTAAAATAAGGACACACATGCACATGCAGGCACACAGGTACCTGAACCTCTTAATTCTCATTTAATTCACTCAGAGGCAAAGTATCTTCCCTGAGTTCACCCAGAGTCAGTGGCCACCTCTAATTCCCAAGCTGTCCAGTAGCTGTGAACCACCTGGTTGTTGAAGTCAGCCTTGTTTTAGTAGGTCTGGGAGGAGACCTGAGACTTTTTAAGTGCTCCCCGGCGACGGTAACATTGCTGCTCTACGGACCACACTTAGACCAGCAAGACTGAACAAGTAGCTCGGAACCTTTAACGTGCTTCAGAATCATCTGGAGGGCTTGTTAGGCATAGTTTGCTTCCTCCCACTTCCCTCAAGTGTGAATGAGTTCTTGGGTGGGTCCTGAAAATTTGCATTTCTAACAACTAACATGTGAAGCTAGCTGATGCCACTGGCCAGGGGAGTATGCTTTGAGAATTCTGCCCTTTACTTCATACATGGCTTGTTATCAGTTCAGCTAACCAACATGCTTAACAGCCAGAATGACACAATCAGAATAGTGCTTGCCCTGCCAGAAAGGACCTAGCCTGGTAAGTAAGTAGCACTGTGAAATGTGAACTAGCTAAATAGCAGATTTAATATGAGAATGAAATACTAGGAGTTATGAAAAGATTTAGCTCATAGTAAATGTTGTTTATCAACAGAAGAAATGCAGCATTACTTGTTTTTCTAAAAATTACTTGATAAACCCAAGGCAACTAGTTGTTTATCTGAAAGGCAGAGTTAGAGAAGGAGAGAGATCTTTGATCTGCTGGTTCACTCCCCAGATGGCCACAAGCCAGGAGCTAACTCCCAGTCTCCTACATGGAGGCAGGGGTTCAAGCACTGGGAGCATCTTCTGCAGCTTTCCCGGGAGCATTAGCAGTGAGCTGGGCCTGAAGTGGAGTAGCCAGGATTCAAACTGGCGCCCATATGGAATGCCAGTGCTGCAGGTAGCAGCTTTACCTGCTACGCCACAGCACCAGCCCAAGGCAATGACTCTTTACCAGGGATGGTGGTAGTTAAGTGGTAAGGAATGAGAGAAGTAATTTGAGGATAAAGGGGACTGCAATTTGAAACCCCACATTCAGTATACCTATTCTAGAATCAACAAAGTAAAATAAATCAAAATATTGCGTGGTGGGAGTATACTGCAGAGAAGAAAATATTTGAGGGCATAGTTTGACATGAAAAAAGGTCGCTAATACCTCGGAATATGGAAGTTTTTTGTTTGGTTTTCTTCAAGATATGCCAATAGTCTTTGAGTAAAGATTGCCCTTGGATAGAATGTGCAGTGCTTATCTCAAAATGCACTCTACTGATCAATTGAGAGAACAGTAAAAATGATTTTGGAAGCAGACTTTGTTAAACAAGTGCTTTCTCAGTGTATTTTCTGCTACATTCTCTGCTTAATGTAATATTCTTTTATTTTTCAGTATTTTCATAAAGTTGCTGGCCAGCTCTTACCTCTTGCATATAACCTGTTGAAGAGGAATCTGTTCGCAGAAATTATAGAAGATCATCTGTCAAACAGAAGTACAGAGAACGTAGACCAACTTGCGGCCTAAGTGAGATTGGCTTTGATGTAAAGCTTTACTATTAAACTTAATTTTTGTTTTGTTCTTAAGGAATACAGAAAATAAACTGATGGAAACTTTACTAAAAACTTTTATAAGGCTCTTCTGCCCTTTCTTTCATGTGTAAATAAGCGATAGTCAAATCATCTAAATGGTGAAATCTTTTTTTTTTTTTTTTTTTTTACGGTTTACTTATTTATTTGAAAATTAGTTACAGAGAGAGGGGGAGAGAGGTCTTCCATCCACTGGGTCACTCCTCAATTGGCCACAACAGTCGGAGCTGCGCCAATCCGAAGCCAGTAGTCAGGAGCTTCTTCTGGATCTCCTACAGGATGCAAGGTCCCAAGGACTTGGGCCATCTTCTACTGCTTTCCCAGGCCATAGCAGAGAGCTGGATCAGAAGTAGAGCAGCCAGAACTCGAACTGGCACCCATATGGGATGCTGGCACTGCAGGCAGCAGTTTAACCTGCTATGCCACAATGGTGAAATCCTAACCACATTTTAGAAGACAACCAAAGTCATCCTCTGAACGTCACAGGAAGTCACTAATGCTTTTGGGATCAGTAACCTATCCTCCCCTTCTGGGAAGTCCTTTTTGATATTTATCACATGAGCAACTGATAACTTATTTCTTCTGAGTCTTGAGTTAATAGTAGCTATTGCTTTAAGAACTGGGTTTATGGGAGGCCAAGAAAGGGCACGGGAGAAGGAAATGCAAAACTCTGTAACTAGCATTCTCCCGGAGTGCCTGACCTCAGACCTTCCCAAATGGTATTTTAACAATATCTCCAAGTGACTTACAGTCTCCCAACAAGCAGTCCAGGTATCTGATGATACAGTCTGAATTAAAAGAATTGTTTCAAAGGATGTAACTTACCAAAGTAATATAGTATATTGATACAGTACACAGCATTAGTATAATACGGCATACTAATCAGTATGCTATTAATTTAGATGTTAAAATTTTCCATTGCAAATTATCCAAGTTTCTATTAGAAACCCAAAGAAATATCTGTGTTTTGCCAGATGCAGATCCTCCTTAGACCTGACAAGATGTTTTTCATTTTGAAACAGAGCAAACCGTGAAATGCAAAATAGCAAACTTCATAGATTAGGCTACAGAACCTTTTTCTTTTATAGATCTTTTTCCTTTGTATGAAGTTCAAGATAGAAAAGCTTTTAGGTCTTCAGATTTAACCTCCACATTTTGTAAAGGACTGACTTACCCAAATAACTTTTATTGAATACTCGGTTGTTTCCAAAGTTCTCACTTAGCTATCTGCTTGAAATAGATTTGAATAACTTTTTTTAAATAGACAAGATTTAAGTGGACTATTAAACAACAGCCCTTAAGGTTAGTATTTTAACTGAGAAGCATTTTTTAAAATAGCTGAGAAACTATTTTGTTGAGATGCTCATGAATTAAGGATCCTTGACTTCTCAGACCAAAATCCCTTCTGCTGTAGCCTAGATCCATTCCCTTTCTACCTATGGCCCATGCCACCCTTATGGGCAGTTAGGATGTTTTCTTCAAGGGAGGCATATTTTGTATAATAGCCAGAATGAAACTGACAAAGTCTTTACCCTTATTTTGTTTTTGTTTTTGTTTTTTAAAAAAGATTAATTTTGTGTATTTGAAAGGTAGAGTTACAAAGAGACAGAGGGAGAAATGGAGAGAGAGCTTCCATCTGCTGGTTCATTCCCCAAATGGCTGCAATGGCCAGGGATGGGCCAGGCTGAAACCAGGAGCCAGAAGCTTCCTCTTGGTCTTCCCTGTGCGTGCAGGGACCAAAGGACTTGGGTCATCTGCTGCTGCTTAGCCAGGTGCATCAACAGGGAGCTGGATCAGGAGTAGAGCAGCCAGGATGCGAACTGGTGCTGATATGGGATGCAGGTAGTGCAGGCGGTGGCTTTACCCATTATACCACAACATCAGCCCCTTAATCTTCATTTTCACAGAAACTCTTATAGTTCTGACAGTGAGATCTCACAGGGTTTAAGGGTCTGCCATCTTAGTTACATAAGAAACTCCAGGGCCTAGACCTGTTGGCATGCCCTATTAACTTACATTAAAACTTTACAACAGGCCTGGCGCTGTAGTGTAGGTTAATCTGCCCGGGTGCCAGCATCCCACATGGGCGCAGGTTCCAGTCCCAGCTGCTCCTCTTCCAATCCAGTTCTCCGCAGTGGCCAGGGAAAGCAGTAGAAGATGGCCCAAGCATTTGGGCCCCTGCACCCCTGTGGGAGACCTGGAAGAAGCTCCTTGCTCCTGACTTCAGACTGGCCCAAATCCAGTGATTGAGGCCATTTCGGGAGTGAACCAGTGGATGAAGACCTTTCTCTCTACCTCTACCTCTCAAATCTTTTTTAAAAAAAAAAAAAAAAAACTTTACAAGAACGATTAGCTCACACTTCGGTTAGAAAAGATAGCCAAATCACACTGTCTTACGTCTAACACTTTGGAAGCTTCTGTTTTTCTCATTTTTTAGTCTCCCAAGCATTTGTTCATTATTTCTAAATATTAACACCCCCAAATTAACATATAATTCAAAATTATAAAAATTCAAGTATCTTCAAAATCTGCTTAACTAGGAATATTGTGTTCCTTTTATTTCTGCATTTGGTGGGATCCAACAGTCTCAAATGTGTAGTTTGGTTTTTATATACTTGTGAATATGAATTGTAAGATGATTTCTTATCAAAGGGTAAAAATGATCAACTTTTCCTCCATTCCTTACACAAACTTAACATGAATGTTTATCTTCAAAAAGCTGAATCTATCATTATAAAGACATATGAAATAAGATTATGTCAGCCATAATTTGGATAATATACTTGGAGTTGTGATAGTGTTTCTTGAGGGCAGGAAAAAAATGTGGATTTCCAGTCTCAAACTCCAGCCAGTTGTGTCAGAGGACAAGTAACTCAGGTGGCAGTGAGCTTCCAACACTGAACATTAAAAAGCAAACTCCCTACAGTAGGATCCTAACTCTTCCTTCCTTACCTTCTTCCTTCACTAATGGCATGATCCATTTAAGCGCTGTTCACTAAAAGTTTTTGCTTATGAAGGACCTGGCCACTCAAGTGCTATAGTAGCTTCCGAATGAGACCTATCTACCTCTGTTCTCTGAGACCACATATTGACTACACACTTCCATGATGAACCTTGATTCAACTGGGATTTAACATGGCAACTGTTACCCAACTCAAATTTAGTTAAGCTTACCTCTTGGAGAACAGAATTTCTATATAATCTCACAAACATGGGTACAGAATGCAATACTCTAGGAAAAATGAAAGCTATATAAGATACTGCTATATAAATTACTTGGCAATGACACTAAACCTTTGCACTAGCTTAAATACCATCCTGGCTTAATTTCATTTTATCCAAATTTCAATTAAATTCCTATTCATTTTAATATATATATAGATGATCCCTCTGATAACTAGGCCTCTCCTTATTTTTAATGATATAGGCTAGGGTTCAAAAACTAGCACTTTGCTTGAAATTAAAATTTTCATTACTGGTATTAACATTCTGTCTAAGCATCCTCACCCAGCTACCTCTTTTAACATCCCAGCAAGTTTTCAAACGTTATAGGTCACTGATCTAAATACTTTGTTCATTCTGCACCCACTGCATTCCTCCCTCTTTACCCAACCTTCAGCTTTTCACTCCCCATCATCAGAACCACTCCCATATTCTCAGCTCCATTTGTTGTACTTACCTGTTAGAACCTTAAGACAAATAAAAACAGAAAACCAAAAAATCTGTATAATTCTGACATGAATCTGTTCAGTATCAGGTAGCTAGAGGAAAAATAAAATAGAACCATGATGGCTGACCTTATTTTAACCTTAAGTTGGCCATACTGGATGCCCACCAATCCTACTGCCTATTTGCTCTCATGCTCTTTCACTTAGGAAATAGAATCAAAATGACTCCAACAAAATCTCACCACCCTACCAATTATGCACCATACTCTGCGTTCCCTCATTAATTTCCCCTCTCAAATATTCCCATAAACAGCCAAAGAGCTATAATATACCCTGCATTTTAACAGTCATATTCCTTTTCTGAAAACCTCACAGGAAGAACTTTATAAGCTTGTTTTCAATTTCTCTTTGCAGTCAAACACACTCCAATCAGGCTTTCATTGAACCTGCTCTGCTTGCATACTCAGTTACCTTCCCAGAGGTCAATTCTCAAGCATCATGTAATTCACTTATCAGCAACATCTGACAGTTGAATCCATCTTTAACACTATCCAATGGGCTTATGGCACTGCTCACCACTCTACCTCACTCATGGCTCTCCCTTTTCCTGATTCCTTATATCCCCAAATCTTCATCAATGCTCAATTCTTCTACCTCCCCTCCATGTCTAATCTTTAGCAACCTCACCTTGTCTCAGGATGATGCCTGTCCTGGTTAGCTGAGCCTTTCTAAGTCCCAGTCTCTCATACACTTGTGTCTACCTGACACTTTCACTTGCAAATCTAAAAGCTATTTATAGCTTGTTTTTTATTTTGAGAGGCAGGGAGAGCATGGGATCCCATGTGTTGGCTCATTCCCCAAATGTCCACAATGGCAAGGGCTAGGTCAGGCTGAAGCTGAGAGCCAGGAATTCAATCCAAGTCTCCCATGTGGATGGCAGGGAACCAAGTACTTGACACAGTTACTTCCATCTCTACATCAGCAAGAAGCTGCAGTAAGGAGATGGAACGAGGAACTGAACCCAAGCACTCTGATGTAGGATATAGGCATAATCATTAGGCCTCATGCATTTAAAATTTAATGTCTAAAACCAGGATTTGTCACTACGCTTCCTCAAAACTAATCTTTGTTGAACTACTTCCCAACTCAGGGATCATTCCATTGTTCTGTGATTACTAAAGGCAAAAACTCTGCAGACACCCTTGATTTCATTCTCATCCCCTCCACATTCAATCCATTAGTAAATCCTGTCTCTTCCACCTTCAAAGTATCTAGAATCCTACCACTTTCACCACACCACCAGCTTCAGACAGGTTCCAAGCTCTATCATGTATTATTCCCAGAACCTTCTAACTAGCCATCCTGTTTCCACCCTGTCCCCTGTAGTCTATGCCCAAAAATGACGTCCGGTTACTTGATGCCGTGTGGTGTTGCTTCTCTGCTTCACTGGCCCCCATCTGACTTGAAGTGAAAGTCAAATCTCAACACCCTGCACCTCCTTGGCCCACTTTACCCCCCTTCCTGCTGTCCAGCCACAGGGACCGACTTGGTGTTCCTTGACTGGCAGCAATGTTCCACCGTGCAATGTCTAATACAGCATTTTCTCCTCTTAGATGTTGTTCTCATAGATAAATGGCTTCCCTCAGTCTAAGTTTTGCTCAAATGTGACCTTATCCCTGAGGCCATCCGTGAATACAGTGTGCATGCCTGTGCACATGCACATACCTTCACTTTATTTTCTCCCATTAGATGACCTCTATTAGAGCAGGAAGTTTTGCCTGATTTTCTATGCTCCTCACAGTGTGTAGCACATAGGAATTAAACAAACAAACAAAAAAACGAACTGGGCCTAGCACTGTATAGTGGGTAAAGCCACAGCCTGCGGCACCAGCATACCATCTGGACTCAGCATAAGACAGTCCAAGTACTTGGGCCCCTGTACCCATGTACGACCCAAAGGAAGTTCCTGGCTCGTGGCTTTGGATTGGCCCAGCTGTGGCTGTTGTGGCCATTTGGAGAGTGAACCAGTGGATGAAGTTCTCTCTGCTTTTCAAATAAATCTTAAAAAAAAAAAACTCTGCTGAACTGATTAATCCATGGTATTTGTCACCATCTGACACACTATACAGTGAATGGTCCTTTTGGGATCTACCCTGGACTTTTAGTGTTTTCCTTTCTACTAAAACTTTACTATTAGAAGACTACTGAAATCTCATTGAAATATTATTACCACCCCCTTTTAGGCAGCTCTATTAGCAAATTTCCAAAGTAAATTTTTATTTTTTTTTAAAGATTTATTTATTTGAAAGTCGGAGTTATAGAAAACAGGAAGAGGCAGAGAGAGAGAAAGAGAGAAAGGGAGAGAGAGAGAGAAAGAATATCTTTCATCCATTGGTTCACTCCCCAAATGGACGAAACAGCTGGAGTTGGGCCAGGCTGAAGCCAGGAGTCAGGAGCTTCTTACGGGTCTCCCAAGTGGGTGGCAGAGGTCCAAGCTTGGGCCATCTTTCACTGCTTTCCCAGGCACATTAGTAGGAAGCTGGATTGGAAGTGGAGCAGCCAGGATTTGAATCGGCACCCAGCTGGGATGCTGGCATGCAGGTGGCAGCTTTACCCGCTATGCCACAGCACCAGTCCCGCAAAGTAAATTTTTAAGTTAATCATTTACCTGTTTTCCCTTCATGCTAATACCATATTCTAAAACAATCAAATTTTTAAAAAGTGAACCTAAATGCAATCTCCCTGCATACTGGCAACTTTCGCTGATTTTGCTGGTGGATCATATGTCCTATTGGTCCACCTGGTACCTACTCCTCTGTGGCTCCTCATTCGCAGTCCAGGAGCAGCTCTGCAACCTGCGAGTATTGCAGTCTCCACCCCTTTGAGGCTGCATGTGCCAGGCATGTTGGCCCACACTGCATAGGGCAGCTGTAAGGAGGGAGGACTGCTACAAATATAATTAAATGCCAAACCACACATTGTCACAGAGATTTTAATAGATTTTCTGATGAACTCATCACAGTAATCATTTTTACTGTAATGATATGCAGCTTTACTACACTAGTATAAATAAAAACAGATAAATACAGCTCTAGGCAACATCACAGATTAACAAACTAAGCAGTCTTCATGAACCAAAGCTGAAAACAATATTAATAAGAAGAGATGCTGACACCCTTGCCCATTCTCATCATACCTTCTAAGAAAGGGTACTCAAATAAGGCGCTACACTTATATTGGTCAGTTTGCCAAATAGTCAGGCACGTGTATTTTCATGGTCTTCAGTATTTCATCATTTGGCTGAAAAGCAGACACACTTCACTGTATCAAAAGGGAAAATGGAATAGATAGTAACATCAAAGAAAAACTACTGAATGTGTTTAAAAACGGCACTTTTCCTGTATTTCAGCAGTAAGACATACCAGGGATAGAAATATCAAGGAAAAAAATTAACACTTTTACTATCTACCCTGAAATGTCAATCTCCGAAGCAATCGCAATCAAAGTAGGACCTGAAATCAAAATGGGAAACGTGGAAAATAAAATCCATGTGCAGTTTAATAGATGAAGCTATCCGCAAAGAAACTGCTTTCATCTTTGAAGGCTTCTAACTCAGGACAAGCAATTAAGTTATCCCACAGCCACACGGAGGAGTTCATACTCCAGCAGTGCCACACACACTGCAAATACTCTTAAACATATTTGAAACTGTCATGTGGTAACGATTGTACTCTGAAGGGGCTGCAAAGAAAACCTGAAGTCTACCAAAGGGAGTAAGTCACTAGGGCAAAATCTCAATCCTAGGCAGCATAGCTAAGAATGCATCACCAAAAAAAAAAGAATGATTCACCAAACTTCCAAAATTTTGCCAAGCTTTCAATTGTTATCCTAATATGGCTTCATGATCTTTTAAGTCTTTACGATCTTACAGATCTTATGTGATCTTACAAATCTCCAGGTATATTATTATTAACAACTAGGAAGTGAAGAACCACTTCTAAAATGTAAAAACAGCTTGTTGCCAGGTGCATTTCAGAAAATGTCTGCAAAAATTCATTTTCCTATCAAAAATGCATAATCCTACACTATTTCGGCCAGTTCTTAGAATAAATTGCCTTTGCCAATAGTGACCCAAGACCATGATTAAAACACGTATTTCCAAAAACAAAAATCCCAAACACAACCCAGTACATTTTAACTCATCCTGCAAAAATGTGCACTGGTGATATCCAAACCATTGTGGAACACTTCAAATATGGATACAACCTACATGCTTAGATTAAAATGTAAACTGCTATCTTTGCAATTCTATGCTTTCATTATTTGTTGCTGATTTTTTTTTAAATGGTTAATACTATTTAGTTTTCGGTTTTAATCTACATAGTAATTTGTAGTGTTTCAACTTTCCAGTTAATGGGTCAAAATGGACAGATCAGAAGACATAAATCAGGGGATGGCAGTGAAAGATCAGAAAAAAGTTTATGTACACATTGGATCATAGAGAAATAACCACAACCTCTTTTAAACCCTTGCTCCCATTGTAAACTTTGTTCATATCTCCATATTTGTAAGTCTGAATTAGTCTATAAAAATCACATTAAAAAGGTAAAGTTATTTAAGTGCGATATTAACTGATCTGTATTTTATAAATTTTAATCCATAAAAATATAAATAAGAATGGTAAATTTTTAAGAAAAGAAATATACATTTAGTGCAAGTTATGAATTACATTTCTTCTTCAGTGTCAGCAGTGAAATATCTTGAGGAAAGAAAAGAATTACTCATCTAATTTCAAGAAAAAAAATTCCAGTGTTTTAACATGCAATTGATATCGGATACAGCTCAACAGAATACTTCCTTCTAGTTCCTGTCAATGCAGCAGCATTTTGTTTCATTATGCCGAACAGCACTTGTATATCCTAATAGTTTTAGAAATAGAAAACTTGCATAAGACCAGGTCACATTATCCATAGTCTGAGATGAAAAAAAGAAAACTGTTTATCCTTTAAAGTCAAGTCTCATTTTTTTTTTTTTGATTCTGAATCACACAGCACAGAAGCTGAGATTTCATTCATGCTTCTTGAGATTTTACCTGTTTGATCAGCCTTTGTTGTGGTGCATGTGCGCTGTTCCGAGCATTTAGTGGTGGTGCAAACTACATGGTTAATGGCACAAGAAACACTCCCTTCTTGTGATAAACCTCAATAAAATCACAGTACATCTCAATATGAGAAAGGACTGCTTCAAAAGGGTACACCAATTTAAAGAGGCTTTGTTACAGCTCAGGAGAGACAAAGAAGAGAGAAGAGAGGAGAAGTAAGGAGAAGTGAGGAGAGCAGAGGAGAGAGAGGAGAAGAGAGGAGAGGACAGAGAAGAGGGAAATAAAAGCTCTTCTGGAATGTAGAAAGGTAATGCTTAGCTATACAATTCATGAATCAAACAGAACAGTTTTGATAAAAAAGGGCAAGACCTTGCAGTCTTACAGATGGCTCAATTCAGAGTAATCCCTCCAGAAATAGGGACTGATAACGTGTCTTTGCAATGTTGGAGGCACAGACCCAGGTGCTCCAGGACTCCGGTGTCATTCTCCATGGTGGCTCAAGCCTGCACTATCACGGCACAATCTCAGATGCATCCAGTGCAGAACAATAGGAGTTGATCGCTGCTGTCACTTAGGGAAACACCTCTCTCCTTTCCCTCCCCAAACAACTCCTCCATTCCACCAGCATTATTTGCAAACCATGTTGCAAAAGCCTGGCTTTTATATTTCTTTTTTTAAAGGAGGAAAAAAAAAGTAGACGACTCCCTCAGGTTAAAGAGTTGTGCTATTCAACAGATGAACTTCCTCTTCTGTTTCCTCTCTCTCCTCATCTATGGGATTCAGTTGAACATTATTGAAGCGGGGTCTTGGTTTGCCGTCTGGGCCATATGACGGAGGATATCTTTTTTTGTTATAATGCCAAGGAGGCGCCTGAAAGGGAACAGAACATTGCTATTAAAATAAAAGGGAGAAGAAAAAAAGAAGCTACATCTATAGCTAAGTCCTTTTTGTTGACAGGAATAGAGCAAAGCAAGCAGCCTGATTTTATATTTTCAAAAAGTATTTTATTGGTAAAGGTAACAAAATTATCCAGCAACCATCCTTTGATACGAACAGTATTATGGTCACTAATAATCTAATGTCCTTTCCACTGAGACTCTGAGGACTACATGCCTCATTAAAGTAGAGCTATTTTGATTATTGTATGCCAACAAAAAAGTAACAAAAATGGGAGGGTGCATGAACAGGAAATGATACTGATCCCATTTGAGAAGGAAAAATTCATTGTCATCACATCAAGAAAGCAGCAAAATGCTTGATGACCAAGCCCCCTCAATACTTCATTTTTTGTTAAACCAAAATTAACTAGTGTTTAAAATAAATATAATTTAAGGATTGCTCAGTTGTATGCAAAATCTTCATGAAAGCACATACAATTGAGAAAGAAATGCATATAAAATGGTCAACACCAAACTTCAATCCCAAACTTCAAAACCCCAAGAATAAATCTATAAGACAACTCAAATTTCTAGGACACTCCCCAATGTTTTCCTTTTGTTATTTTGGTAAAAAAAAATTACGATAAAGTGCTTTTATGAAAGTCTTAGTTGTTAATGCTTACATTAAAATAGGTGAAAAAAAATCAAAAAGCAGTCCTGAAAGATTACTGGTGAAGCAGAAAGCAGAATGAATGAGCAACTACTATATTATTCTGGTTAGTAGTTTTTAAAAAGGATGCATGAAACACTTGTGAAATATTAGCATACAACAGAAATACATAATCAGTTGTGTACTTAAGCAAACTGGGACAGGTTTTATATAGTTATGACAATTGCAGGACAAAATAATTCCAGGCATTAATTGCTAAAGCCAGACAATTTTTATGTTATATAGTAGATAATTCAAAATTTATCTGTATTCATGAAACCACTAGGACATAAAGGCGGTTAAAACAAATACATCCAACCCCAAAGAGGTGCTTATAGCATTCCAGAGACATCATACAAAAGGGGCACATACATGATCTAGGTACAATTCACTAATGAGATGGCAGGACACACAATCTGACTTTGAAGGTATGCAGACTACAGGAAAACTAACACTATTATCACAGATACATACACATTACACTCTAGGTAGTGTGCCCATTAAAATAATCCATCTAACTGTCAGCAGTTTCAATTGCTAAGCTCAGTTAAAATCAATTAGGAGCTTAGACTCTACCACAGGACTACCAAGATTAGTAAACAAAAAAGAAAAAAGGGTTTGGGCGACAAGGCAGACATTTTTAACCAGTCAGGAGTCTGAGACTGGTGTATTGGCTAAGGTCAACAGATCAGTTGTGATGACTTTAGGATGTCCAATAATCTGTTCTCATTCAACTACCAAACTGTTTACAGTTCTTAAATTGTAAAAAAAAAGATTCAAATGAGCAATGTTAACCTTTGCATACTTTCTATGAATGGAAATTTACACATATCTAAATTGACCTTACAGACAACATCAGTACAAATGTAACTGGCAGCATAGTAGGTAAGTTTTTTTGTTCAGCAGGTATCTGGGACAGAGAACTGAACAGTTCACAAGTTTCATGCTTCCTGACTTCTAAGGTGTCTAATGAGGAGATCTGATATATCTAATCACCAAGGGCTCCACGTGCTGCTTTAGTTGCTCGAGATGCTCTAATATGTTCTTCTTTGTGATGATCCCCAAGACAATCCTGAAACAGATTATTATGCTAATAACTGTGTGAGAAATCAAATTAAAAGAGGTTCCAATCATAATGATAATGAGAGAGAGAAAAAAACATGAACTATAAGAATGCTTCTGAAGAACTTTAGAAAAATAAAAACCAAAAATCATCTAAAATTCCAGGTTCTTTTTGCATAAACACTATTGACTTTCAAAAGTGACACCACACCACAATATTTCTCAATATTGGTGTGCTATTTTCATTTTAAATTAAAATTATAAAAGTTCAGAATGAAGATGATTACAAAGAAAAGTACAAAAGAAACTTAATGATGACACACAGCTATGAACCCCTGAAATTTAGTTTCATTTTCAGGGTTCTCTACTTAGAGATAATGCAGCAGCTATCATTTGAATCCATGTCAGCAGTAGTAAAGGCTTATTAGTCTTAATGCCTCTTAAGAAATCCCTTGGATTTTGCCATGGTTTGGAATTTAAATTAAAAACAATGTATACTAAATAGATAATACCAACCAGGAGAAACACACCCTAATTTTCAGGAACTGTGAACATGTCTTCCTAAAATAAGTTAATAAAACATTTACGACTAAGGGTCAAAATGATTTACTTTCAGTATTTTTCCCCCAAATTAATGATTATTTCTCTGTTGACATATTGTTACATGAAGCAAAGTGACAGACATAAATTCTCATGAGGCTCTTTGAAATGAAGCAAAATTGGAACAAAATTCTGGTCACAATTTTATAATGGAAATTAATTAACTGCAATATGTGGCAATGCAGTGTAAGTCAACAATCTTTAAAAAACACTTTAACCTTTAAATTCTGGAAGCCCACCCAAAATACCCTTCAGGGTAATTGGACATTTTCCTGCTGATTTGGTTAAGGCAACCTTCCTGTTATGCTGCCTTTGAACACTGAAATTTTTAAAGAGCCCTCATGAGGGCACTTCAAAATAGTCTGGTTTGACACATGCATTCATTATAAAATAGTTCTTTAGATGAAGGCTGGGACAGGGCTGGGGAAACAGAGAGGGTGGAAAATTGGAAAACCACATCTAAGTTGTTTGTTCATATTATTATTTTAAAGAAAAAGCATATTGACCCTTCAGAATAAGTTGAAAAATTCTCAGGGTATGGGAACAACTTCCTCCCTGAAAAAAGCAGTTTACAAATGAGCAATCAATCAGTAGATGTACTTCTCACACTAAAACTTTCAAGTTTAAAAACAAACAAAAAGTTGTCAATGCACTTAATTTTATGGTTTTCTTGAGCCAGGAAAGTAGAAATCTTGGCAATTAAATACAATAACACCAACTTAATTCTTACTCATACTTTTCTATCCAATAACATAGACACAGTTTGTTAGTATCACCTAAATTATTAAACTCTGGCAGATCACAAGATACATAAACAATGAAGAAAGTTACAAGCTTATAAGAACCAAGTGCAAATTTAGAAATTTACAAAATAGTCTGATTTTTCAAAGCAATATCCCTAAAAAGGGAGGAGCAGTGCATACTGTTCCTCTCTGTCATGAAAAAGAGAGAGAGTAATGAGAATTGACAAGGTTCAGTACTACTTTATTAATTTTAGGGTGTGGAAGGAAAATCAATGCAAAAATGTGACTCACATAGAGGGAATAATTTGCTGTTTCCTTTCAGGCCAATAAGTAATGATGTAAGAAGTTACAGGGTATAACCCAGCATTTCCTATAGACTGTTCCAAGAAACAGCAGTCCTTCTTCCCACCCCCAAATGGTTGCACTTTCCAGTAAGTTTAGAAAACTATGTTTCCTATTACTCTTGTCTGAGAACAGAAGACTAACAACACTTTAAAAGTTTTGACAAGTTTCACAGTAAAGAAACCTCAACTGTATTTCACCTAATACTTCTATCACAAAAACTTTTTTTAAGTTGGTCCTAATATCCTACTAATTCCACTAAAACCGAAAGATTTTAAGAAATTATGCTAAATTAAAATATACAGTGGGGGAAATGAATAACTAATGGACATCTTTAGCTTACAGACACATTTCCCCTCATCTCTGTATTCCTTTTTTCTCTTTGCATCCAAGGCTCTATAGCTATTATGTCTCGTCCCCAAATGACTATTTTCCATCAGTGCAAAGTATTAACTATAAAACATGGCTAGCTATCCAGAATTTCATATGCTCCACTAAAAACCAGAAGATATGATCTCTTTTCTGGATTTAAGGCATTTAATTTTAAGTGAGAATAAATAACCAACTCCTATATACAAGAGTCCCAAGAGCTACCTCCCCAACTGATCTCTTTTCTTTCCATATATATCAACTTATTTTCCTTGAATCAAGGACAGAAATAAAGAAAATATCATGAAGGCAACTAAACATTTTTACACTGAAACACCCTTCTCTTTCATATAAACAGGCAGCATCAGATATAGTTTTAATTAGCTATCTTTTTAACATTTTCCTTTATTATCTATTCTGCCAAAAATTTGGAAATTAATCAAGGTGAAATATGAAAATTAACCCATACAGCAGCTTTGCCACCATAGATCATAATATTCTCATAGAGAATAACATTTACATTTGTTAGTACATAAACATATATACTGGGGGGTGCCAGCGCTGTGGTGTGGTGGGTAAATCCCCCGCTTGCAGTGCTGGCATCCCATTTAGCCACCAGTTCTAGTCCCGGTTGCCCCTCTTCTGATCCAGCTCTCTGCAATGGCCTGGGAAAGCAGAAGAAGATGACCCAAGTCCTTGGGCCCCTGCACCCATGTGGGAGACCCGGAAGAAGCTCCTGGCTCCTGGCTTTGGATTGGCACAGCTCTGGCCACTGCGGCCAACTGGGGAGTGAACCAGCGGATGGAAGACCTCTCTCTCTCTCTCTGCCTCTCCTTCTCTGTGTAACTCTGACCTTCAAATAAATAAATAAATCTTTAAAACAAAAAAAGGACATACTAGGAACAAGTGTTTAGCCTAGCAGTTAGGACACTTGCAACCCTCATCGAAATGCCTAGGATAGATCCCAGTCCTGACTTCTGACTCTAGCGTCCTGCCTGACAAATACAGACCCTGAGAGGCCGCACTGATGGTTCGAGTACTGGGAGACGAGAAAAGAATTCCCAGCCCCTGGCTGAGGTCCCCTGCCCAGTCCCATCCTTTGAAGGCTTTTGAAGAATTAAATCAGAAGACGGAGCTCTTTGACTATATCTCTGTGTCTCTTTCTCAACAAAAAGGAGAAACTATACCATGCACAGACAACACCTAGAAGCAAATAATACCTTATAACAACTAAGCATAGGTTCCAACTGAGCCATTCAATCATTAAAAGGGCTAAGGATCAGCAAGGCTTTATGAAAAGTTATCTCATTTAAATAGTACTTACTAAGCTTTTAAGCAATGGCTTGATGGCATTTTTAAAAATTAAACAATATTAAATTAGCAACAGTAATACTTTCTTATTCCCTAATCAGTATTTATGGAATCTAATAATTCCAAACTCCCTACTGTTAAGATTTTTATTTATTTATTTGAAAGGCAGAGTTAAAGAGGGATAGAGAGAGAGATCTTCCATCTGCTGGGTCACTCCCCAAATGGCCACAATGGCCACGGTTAGGCCAAGCCAAAGCCAGGACCCAGGAGCTTCATATGGGTCTCCGATGTGGATGCAGGGGCCCAAGTACTTCGGCCATCCTTTGCTGCTTTCCAGGCATGTTAGGAGGGAGCTAGACCAGAAGTGGAACAGCAGGCACTTAAACGCCCAAATGGGATGCCAACATCGCAGGCAGCAACTTTACCCATTATGCCAAAATGCTGGCCCTTTCTATTATATTTCTATTCTTAAAACAATATCATCTAATATATTGGTCAAGAAAATATTTTAGTAGTTTAAAAAATCACAAAGGAAGAGGGTATATTTTATCAGTCAACTACAGTATAAGAGTAGCAACAGAATAGTTTTAAAATTTATTTATTGTATTTATTTATGAGGCAAAGAGACACATAAAGAAAGGCAGAGAGAGACAGACACACACACACACACACAGATGGAAATAAAGAGCTCCCATCCACTTATTCACCCTTGAAATGCTTGTAGCATTAAGCTAGGAGCCAAAAACTCAATCCAGATCTTTCTGTTGAGTGGCAGGGACTCAACTACTTGAGCCATCCCTTCTTACTTCTCAGAGTACGCATAAGCAGGAAGCTGGAATCTCCAGTGAAGCTAGGACTCAAACCTAGGCACTGTGATGTGGGATGCATGGTGTCCCAAGAGGTATCTTAGCTGCTAGGCCAAATGCCAACTCCAAGAGATTGGGTTTTAAAGCTGGAAAGATAGATTCCCTGATACACAACTTGCTCACTGTGTGATTTGGGACAAATTATTAAACCTCTGTGAACTTCAATTACTACATCTGTAGGTAGGGATATTACCATCTACTTTCCTGAGGTTCTTCAAAGGTAAATAAGTAAGTATGTGCCTTCCTCTCAGTTTCTTTTTGTCTGCCTTACCCTAGACAGAGGTCACGTTGTTTCTTCAGCCATGTATCTGATACACAATGTTAAAAACAAAACCACCTGCTATGATCCCCTAAGCTGTGATTACAGTATTTCACCCAGCTTCCTGCTGGGCAGGGAGTTTCTGCATAATCCAAGAATACCCTCTGTTTCTCCTTTGTAGCCTTTGTTATCTGCCTTCAGATGAAAGAAGTCCTGAAGGATGTCAATAAGGAACAGTGATATAATGGGAACAGAGAGCTCTAAACAGCGCCTAGGTCCAGGAGAGGAGAACAGTGGTGACCAAATGGAAGCATACTGGCTCAGGCACCCTCAGCTTTAAGTCTCTGCAATCCTTTGACACCTGTCACTCTCCTATATTCCTATCAGGCAAGAACACTGCAGTTTATGCATAAAAGACAGAAACATAGATTATCAATGCCTACATTTTAAACACATGAGCATTTGTCACTGGCCGTTTCCCCAAAAGATTTGTAGAAAATTTTTTACGCAAAAGATTTTACATAAAAATTCATGCAAAAGGTAGAAAGGGAAAAAAAAGCATTTGTTAAAGGAGATTTTTAGTTAATTTACAAACCTCATTAAATTATATGATAGAGATTCAAAAATTCACAGAAAATTAATTAAACGATAAATTTTGATATGAAAAATTTGAAATCCATGCATTTTTAAATATGCATTTTCCATGATCTTTTTGAAGAAGCTTTTCCTTTGTTATATGATAAATCAACTACTGAATGAAAGAGGAAACAGTAAGATAACTAGAAAGTTAGTATTGTACTAGAAGTTTTAATACTAAAAATAAAATACTTAAGAAAAAGAAAAGCGGTTTTACAGTGTTCCATACCAGTTAGGCCCACCACTGCTCTAAGAACAGAAATATTCTGCTCAACAGGCTGTTCAGGTTGGGAGATCTTTTAGCACCCTTTTTCTAACTTTAAAAGTTCGGTATTCTCGAGAAATGGCACTTTATGTTTTGGAAAAGAGCAGGCACTTTCTTATAGGAACACACTTTCTTACAGTAAGACATCATTCTTATTCTCTGGCAGGTATGATAAAGTCCCTTATTTATAACCACGCTAAGTGACAGATCTTCCCATGGGGCAGCGGACTCACGTTCTTTGCTAATAACCACATGAAAATTCCACTAAAAGGGTCACAAATTCTGCTAAATGAACTGACTTCTGTGGTGCCAAACTTACCCATTGTGAGTTACAAGGCACTGCCTCAGCCCCAGCTTTCGGAAGATGTCCACCACAATCTCCATTGGGGTGTGGTCTGTCACTGTAAAAGGGCTCATGTCAAGAATGCTTCGGAGCTTCAAGGGTCGAGGACTTTCTGCTGGAAGAGATGGGGTGTGCTGTGCAAAACACACTCGAGAGCTACCAACGATACCTTCTTGTTTTTTTCTGGCACTTTCTGAAAGAGACAGAGAGAAGACCAACATTTAAGTCATTAGGTTTTATTCTTTTCATGGACAACCTATTTAATTGGAAATACAAAATAAATGTTTCCCATGACTTTTAGTCCCCTTTCTCCTATCTTCTCCATAACAAAGGATATCAAACGAAAAGTCATTTAGCAATTTCTTGTATCTGATTGAAATGGAATCCACCAACAAAATAAATTTTCATGTAAATACAATATTTTTGGTATAATATACACTGGTACAACATTCTTTACTGAAGCCAAAGTTTTTTATGTTTGGGGGGCAAGGAAAATAGAGTTTAAAACTTGTACAAACTGAGAGGAGCTTATAGGAATCTTTTATTCCGTGAAGCATGCACGTGGTGACTATCACTTACTCTACATTGGAAGTGAGACTACAGTTTCCTCCTTGCTTTGACTAGGAAGCATACTCCCTCCTCTGAATTAGCTGATTCTTTCTCTTTTCTGATGATAAAGTATAATTTTATAGATGATCAATGAACATTACAGGTGGGCTGAAATTACTATTACACTCTTAATGGATTTGGAAGATTTTCTAGGTTGTTTAATTTGCAAAAGTTCTGTTAATTTCTCCTTCATCTCAATGTGCTCTGCTTTGAATGCTTCTGTCCTCCTCTCTATTTCCACTCCTACCTTTGAAAATGCTGGATAAGAAGTAGCAAAGATGGGGAAAAGTGCAGAGACCACAAGAAGAAGGAATCCCATGGAATAAACAAAATAGGAATAAAACAGTCATTCAATTTTATATTTTTTACATATTATGCAACACCGTGTATACATAATCGGTCGGTTGTTGTAGCAAAACACTTTTATTATTAACTGTACTATAAAAATATTTAAGCCAAGATATTAATAACTACCAGTCATAAAACTGGAGCAGATATTACTGTGGCAATGCTTTCTACTACTTCTGACTAAAGCATTATTTAGCCATGTTGTAACACACTCCAGTTGGAAGGCGCTAAGTGAAGCTCCCAATGGCCAGCACTTACTAGACAACCTCAAAAGCATGGTAATGGTAGGAAAGAAACCCTCAGCAATTGACATAAATGATTTTTGGGAAATACTTATTAGTTGCTTATAGTCCAGAAGACGAATCTAGCTAATGACCTGTGTCTGACAATTGAATGGTACAGTGTAAAAACCATTAGCATGAATCAGGAATGGGTACACAAAATAAATGATGTGAAGTGAGACATTAATGACCTAAAACATAGAAAAGGGAGTAAAGTTTTTGTACAGAAATAAAGCTGTTACCAGAAATATTCAGGTAAAACAAACGAAAAAAAAAATGAAATGCATAGGCAAATCAGAATATTCTCACAATGTAATAGGGTCTGTGAATCACTTTTAACTCTTGTATAAAAGTCAGGAGACTAAAATAATTAACTCTAGCAAGGGGCAGGAGGTGTTTGTCACAGTGATTAAGCTGTCACTTGGGACACCCAAATCCCACACTGGAGTGTCTGTGTTTGAGCCAGCGCTGTTCTCCGTTCCAGCTTCCTGAGAACACCCACTTTGGGAGGCAGCCGGAGGACGCTCAAGAGCTTGGGTCCCTGCCATTCACATGGAAGACACAGATTGAGTTCCTGGTTCCTGGCTTCTATCTGGCCCAGTCCTTATTGTTGTGGGCATTTGAGGACTCAATCAGCAGATAGGAGATCTCTCTTTGGCTCTCTGGTGTGCTTTGTCTGTCTGTCCATCCATTTATCTGTTCTCTGTTTGTCCCTTTTGCCTTTCAAATGATTCAATTTAAAAATCTTTAAAAACTATGTCTACTATAAAGTACTGATAAGTAAACAAAATAAAAAGATACCAAGTGTGCTATCAAATAGCAAATATGACATTCTTAGTTAAAACTAACCACCTCTGGACTATGGTCTTTTTGCTCTTATTTGTTGAATATTTTGTTTAGTACAGCCATTAAGCCTTTGACTATAATGTAAATTATGAGTGATCTTCTGCTGTCTTCCCAGGCAAATCAGCAGGAAGCTGGATTAGAAGCAGAACAGCCAGAGTTGAACTGGCACTCCCATATGGGATGCTGCTGTCATAATCAGTGACTTAATCAGCTGTACCACAACCTGGCCCCTTGAGAATATCACTTTTAATCTTTTATTTGAAAATATCTGAAAGAGTATATTTTAAATATTCTCACCCCCCAAAAAAAGCAGGTAAGATATACTAATTAGCTGATTTGATAATGTCACAATGTATATGTACATCAAAATATATTAATCCATAATTTGTCAATTAAAATTTAAAAATCACTATCACTTTTATATGAACACAGTAATTTAACAAGCATCATTTATTGAACATTTACTAAATGACATTTTTCTTTATTTAATTTCTAAAATTATTATTTGTATTTACTTCTTTGAGAGGCAGAGACACAGAGAGGTCCCATCCGCTGGTTCACATCCCTAATGCCAGCAAAGACCAGGGAGCCAGGAATGCAATACAGTTCTTCCATGTGGGTGGCAAGGGTCCAACCAGTTGAGTTCTCACTGCTCACCCTCAGAATGTACATGAGCAGGAAGCTGGAATCAGGGGAATGGCCAGGATTCAAACCCAGGGACTCTAATATAGGACACAAGCATCCCAAGTGATGGTTTAACTGCTACACCAAATGCCCACCTCCATTTTTAAAATTAGTTTTGATGCCAGTCCTTCAAGGGCCCTAAAAGCAGAGTTTATCATAGTTTTTCAATTTCTGATACAATTCAGACATTAAAAAAAGAAGTCCCATTACTTCCATTTTAATGACCTGAAGCAATCTGAGACTTCTTGTTTGGATTTAATATTCTATAAAATCCTGTGTTAGTATAGAGAACTGGGGGCTGGCATTGTAGCACAGCAAGTTAAGCTGCCACTTGCACTGCTAGCTGCTCTAATCAGAGTCCTGGTTCGAGTTCTGGCTGCTTGGCTTCTGATCCAGCTTCCTGTTAATGCACCTGAGAAAGGAGTAGATGATGCCTCAGTTACTTAGGCCCCTGCCCCCCCATATGAGACCAGAAGAGAGTTCCTGGCTCCTGACTTTAGTCTGGGGCAGACTTGGCTGGTGTGGCCATTTGGTGGACTGAACCAGTGTATGACACTTCTCTCTCTTGTCTCTCCGTTCTGTTGCTCTCTCTTTCAAATAAATAAACCTTCAAAAAACAGGGATGGGGAGTGGGTAACATCCAATTTAGCAGATTTCAAATACCTTATTTTTTGAGAGACATGTAGAATTTTTTTGTCCTTCATTAATACATAGTTTTTATATAGAAATTATAATATAGGCTATAATGGAATACAAACATGGAGCCCTCAAAAAATTCATGGAAAATGTATTTAATGAAAAAATTATGCATGCATTTCAAAATTTGGGACACCAAAATAAACTTATCTTTTGATTTCACTTTCTAAGAACTTTTGAATACCATCATATATATAAAAAACCTAGTATATGGTTTGCTTTTCCTAATCAAAAATTTAACCTTTGAGGTCAGTGTTATGGCACAGGTTAAGCTCTATATGCAGTGTTGGAATCCCACACTGGAGCACCGGTTCAAGTCCCAGCTGCTCTGCTTCTGATCCAGCCCTCTACTAAAACATGTGGGAAACAGTAGAAGATGGTCCAAGTATTTGGACACCTGCCACCCATGTAAGAGACTCAGATGGAGTGCCTGGATCATGGCTTTGTTGCAGCCACTTTGGAAACGAAGATTTCTTTCTCTGTCTCTCCTGTTACTCTTTCAAATAGATAAAATAAATCTTTAAAACATTTAAAATTTGACAAAAATAATTATTGGTATTTGTGGTGTGTTCAAAGCTCATTCTATGTCTAATATTTCTGATGACATGGCTTGATATCTCACAAATCTATCGTACCCATAAATTCCCTTAAACCAATATTATCTCCTATTCTAATATTCTCTCAAGACAGTGACAGAACTTCTAAAAATATGTCCACAGGATCAGTGAGAATATGAGTAATTCTTTTTTTTTTTTAGATTTATTTGGAAGACATTGTTACAGAGGAAGAAAAGGACAGAGGCAGAGAGAGAGAGAGAGAGAGAGAAAGTGAGAATATTTTATCCTCTGGCTCACTCCCCGGAGTTGGGCCAGGCCTTCCAGATCCCCAATGTGGGTGCAGGGGCCCAAGGACTTGAGCCATCCTCTGCTGCTTTCCCAGATGCATTACCAGGGAGCTGGATCAGAAGTGGAGCAGCCATGTTGGCATTTCAGGCTGTGGCTTAACCCGCTGTGTCATAGTGCCCCCACATGAGTAATTCTTAATTTTAGCACTTCTTTATCTTTTAAAAATCTGGTCTTTATTTTTCTATGATGGCTGGCTGCCAGTGAAATCTGGAGCATGGGAATACAGTCAATTTGGTTTTGACTAGGTTTGGCCATGGAAATGGCTTAGAAGCTAAAATGTTTGAATACAGCCAAGTCTGACAATTTACTTTGTCATCTCTGGCAACTACTATACTATTCCTTAGGCAAAACTTGAGTTGATGGAATTGCTAGTCTTTGAAAAATTCTTCTACAGCTGTATCCTTTTTTTAAGCTGAAGAAAATATTCTCTATAGGATCTCATTCTTTTCCTCCTTTTTCTTCTCTGCTTCAATGTTTATTAGTACTTACAAATTAAGTTTCAAGTTTGATTTGAGAAATACTCCATATATATTATACAGTCTTCACTCCTCAAAAGGCACAGGAATTATTTTATAATCCTTTAGCAATGATCACAGAGGTAAGGAAGGGAGATGACATGTTCACAGGAATGTCCTTTGGGCACAGGTCAAATGTTTGACATTTCCATCTCATACTGCACCAAATACCGGGGAGTAACAAAGCAACTGCTCGATGGCTCTCTATACTCTATCACCACCATGGGCAGGGGAAGGAGAGTCAGACTGCATTGTAAAGGACTGACATAGTCATACTGGTCTTCTCATCTTGATCACAGGACTATATCTTTTAAAGAACTTTTCAATAATTATTTATTTTTATTTACTTGAAAGGCAGAAAGAGAGATCTCCCATCTGTTGGTTCATTCCCCAAATGCCTGTAACTGCTGGGACCAAGCCAGGTTAAAGCGAGGAGCCAGGAACTCAATCCAGGTCTCCCACCTGGGTGGCAGAGACCCAAACTACTTCAGCCATCACCTGTTGCCTCTCAGTGTGCACACTAGTAGAAACTCAAATCGGGAGTGGAGCTGGGAATTAAAACCAGCACTCTAATATGGGTGCACGTGTCACAAGCAGCATCTTAGTCTTAACCTGCTCCACCAAATGTTTGTGTCTATATCCTTGATTTTAAGTGGAAAGAGGAAAACTACTTTTAACAGTAAAATAATCCAAAGAGGCATAAATTCCTACAGGATATAAGACTTTCAAGGACACAAAATAACATCCCTTGCTCTGCAAACTCAATCTATTAAATTTTACTCCGTTTTTCCTTCCAGAAATCTATCATAAACACACACTCACATACACACTCAATTTTTTAAGGTACCTATTGCAATTGTCAGATCTCTTCTGAGAGCAAATCCCACTAATCTCTGAGATTCTTTTGACATTATAACAGGAAAGCCATTGTAGCTTGTTTCATTTATCATATTTTCTATATCATCCACTGTCATATTGTCCTGTGTCAGAACCGCTAAGGGTGGATCATTCCGTCGAGGTCTCATGACATCAGCAGCCAAGGTAGTATGAGTGAATTCTTCTTTTGCATCCAAGAAAGGGTATCCATTTAATCGGATGTGAGCTTCATAAATGCCTTCTCTACCAAAGGCATCTCCGACCCATTTACTCGTCATGACTGCAGCCATGAGCGGAACAATATATTCCAAGCCGCCAGTTAGCTCAAAAACAATAACCACGAGGGACACAGTCATCCTTGTCACACCACCTGAAAAAAATAAGCACCACTGGTCAAGGAAGGACAAGATCCTCACTACCACATGTTATAGAAGTTCCACACTATAAGGTTGAACTCAAAATCGTAAACAGAACCTAGTGAAAGGTATTATCATCAAAAACTATTACTCCTCCCTTTGATCAATACTAATATTTACAGAATCACGTATCTTCTTTGTTTATAACACAGAAGATTATTAAAACAATATTCTGGGGCCGGCGCCGCAGCTCAATAGGCTAATCCTCTGCCTGCGGCGCCAGCACACAGGGTTCTAGTCCTGGTTGGGGCACTGGATTCTGTCCCGGTTGCTCCTCTTCCAGTCCAGCTCTATGCTGGACTCTCTCTGCTGGAGTGCAGTGGAGGATGGCCCAAGTCCTTGGGCCCTGCACCAGCATGGGAGACCAGGAGAAGCACCTGGCTCCTGGCTTCAGATCAGCGCAGTGTGCTGGCTGCAGCGGCCATTGCGGGGGTGAACCAATGGAAAAAAGGAAGACCTTTCTCTCTGTCTCTCTCTCACTGTTCACTCTGCCTGTCAAAAACAAACAAAAAAACCCAATATTCTGAAACTTGTTTAATCACATAAAAAAACAACTCATAGATAACCAAATAAGACAGGTTGTCATACTGGTCTACTGTTGTAGCAAAAAACATAATTTCACCCTTAAACAATCGAACTTTAGGAATTTGATGGCTAACTTGTTTGATATAAATTTAGACACTAAACTTATATATGGGTAGATTATTCATTTGATCAATTTATATTCTCTAAATCTTTAGGAGTAAAATATGTTTTTAAAGATTTTATTTCTTTATTTGAGAGTTACAGATGGTGAGAGGGAGAGAGAGAAAGGTCTTCTATCCAGTGGTTCACTCCCCAAATGGCTGCAACAGCTGGAGCTGAGCTGATCCGAACCCAGGAGCTTCCTCTGGGTCTCCCACACAGGTGCAGGGGCCCAAACACTTGATCCATTCTCTACTGCTTTCCCAGGTCACAGCAGAGAGCTGAATTGGAAGTGGAGCCGCTGGGACTAGAACTGGCACCCATATAGGATGCCAGCACCGCAGGCAAAGGATTAACCTATTGTGACTAAGTGCCGACCCCGAGTAAAATATTTTGATAGCTTGTGATTTACATTAGCAATGTAATAAATAACCCCCATCCCCATAGAAAACTTACTTATTCATTTACCCAAATCATCATTCTTATCTACGGTCTCCATGGTGATCTTTCCCAGCCTACATCTTTCTACTTTACTCTTGCCTTTGCCCAATGTCTCATATTATGCCTATCATAAATTGTTGCTTCTGTCTCACTTTTAGAAGATTTGATGATCCACTGTCACAGAAAACACACCATGCACTTAAAACCAAATTCTTCATTTTCCTCAGAGATATTCATCCCAGTTTCCTCGATTCCAACGTGGGGTACCATATTTTTCCTAGCAACCTAGGTAGTCATTCTTGGTTCATTCCTTTACTTTATTGCAACACCTACATCATCACCTAGTCTCATCTGATTTCTTCTACAAAATACTGCCAGTCTTCCATATCTGCAGGATCCACATGCACAGATTCAACCAGTCATACGCAGAAAATATTTGGAGACACATGTATCTGTAGTATACATGTATAAACCATTTGACATTGTTCTCTCAATAACTACTTAGTATTTATATTATATTAACCATTACAAATAACCCAAATTATTTAAACTACCCCAGAAGATATGTGTGGGTTATTTCCAAAGACTCCATCATTTTATATAAAGGACTTGAGCATCCTTTGATTTTGGTATCTGTAGGGGTCCTACAACCAATCCATCACAAATACTGAGGGATAAGTATTTGCCTATAGGTCCCTTTCTCAGTATTCTCACTATTAATAACCTAGTCCAGGCCCTCAAGACTTTGTTCCTTAATTTTAATACCATTTAGTCTTACCTCCTGGACTTCAAGCCCCATTACCTTCAATCTACTTGGCTTCAGATTGGCACACCGGCTGCGGAGGCCATTGGAGGGTGACCCCAAATGGTCACTGTATTTTTTTTTTTTTTTTGACAGGCAGAGTGGACAGTGAGAGAGAGAGACAGAGAGAAAGGTCTTCCTTTTTCTGTTGGTTCACCCCTCAATGGCCGCTCCGGCCGCGCTGATCTGAAGCCAGGAGCCAGGTGCTTCTCCTGGTCTCCCATGCGGATGCAGGGCCCAAGGACCTGGGCCATCCCCCACTGCACTCCTGGGCCACAGCAGAGAGCTGGACTGGAAGAGGAGCAACCGGGACAGAATCTGGTGCCCCGACCAGGACTAGAACCCAGTGTGCCGGCGCCACAGGCGGAGGATTAGCCTATTGAGCTGTGGTGCCGGCCCTTCAATCTACTTATAAGTCATGTTCCCAAGTTAATCTTTCCTAAGTACTACTTTCACTATGTTGTTCCTTTGCTCAAAAGCCTACCAGGACTTGACAGTTCATACTGTATTAAGTTTAAACTCTTCCTTTTTGCCTTTTTTTTTTTTTGACCTAACAATAGAAGGGGAGAGGATGTATTATATATTACATATCTACTCTATGTTTGACCTGTCCTAGTCAGCTTACAAAGACATTATAACTAAGCACTTATTTTATTACCAGGCATTACACTAATAGCTTTACATGGTTTTTATCTCTTGTCTCCCTTAAAACAATCATAGGAGACAAACAACTGTTATATCCAGTTTATAAATGAGAAAATTAAACATTAAAGAAGGAACTTTCCCAAAGTCATCAATCTAAAAAGGACAAAATCAAGACTGTAGTACAGATCTGATCAATTCCAAATGTAAATTTATCCTGTTATAAATCAGGTGCCTTGTCTTTTCAAAATCTGCTTCTTCTCACCAATCCAATATCACTTCCCATGAGTATCCAAAATATACTCTCTACTTAAATATAGTTTCTTCAAATCCCATGAATATTCAACTTACTCCTATTCAAATTACTTTGTCTCCATATTATAATCTTCAGCAAATTCTACTCTTCTTTAAATTCTACTAACCTTTTAAAAATTAAGCTCACATTCTGCCTTTTCTGGACTATTTCACCTCCTTATTCCTCTAGATTCCTCTAGTATTTGAACCATCTTAATACTGTACATAAATCATTATATATTGCTCACTATTGTTTTCTCAGTGTTGCTTATTTTCCCAAATTGCTTGCAGTTGAGATTGGGCCCATGTTTATATTTCTTTTTGTATCACTCACTGTATCTAACACAGAGCTAAAGAGAAAGTAGATGCTTAATAAATACCTACAGCTTTGGTAAAAATGATTTCTGTAGTTCCCTTTCATTTGATACTAAACTTTTAAAGATAATTACATAATTGTAACTCAGGAAGTGAACAAAAATAAAGTCAAGATACCAACTATTATTCAATATTATAACCAAATTTATCATTTTTCATACCAAAGAGGACAATATGTAGATTTGTAAATATTCAATGTTTTTCTTTCAAATAAATTGAGTAGTTATCTCTTCTCCTTTCACTATAAATATATCTTAGATGGGGGGGTCTGATAAATAACTTTTTTACTAAGGTTAACAATAAATTATGATAAAGCCCAAAGTAAAACTATTCTGACTTAAAAATGCTACTCTTGGGCCAGCGCCATGGCTCACTTGGTTAATCCTCCACCTGTGGCGCCGGTATCCCATATGGGATCCGGGTTCTAGTCCCAGTTGCTCCTCTTCCAGTCCAGCTCTCTGCTGTGGCCCGGGAGGGTAGTGGAGGATGGCCCAGGTCCTTGGGCCCCTGCACCAGCATGGAAGACCAGGAGGAAGCACCTGGCTCCTGGCTTCAGATTGGTTCAGCGCGATGGCTGTAGCGGCCATTTGGGGGAGGTGAACCAACAGAAGGAAGACCTTTCTCTGTCTCTCTCTCTCTCATTGTCTAACTCTGCCTGTCAAATAAAGAAAAAAAAGCTACTTTCATGAACCATGCTGGTATAGGTAAGCCATGAGTGTTGGCAACGACAAAATCAACAATCTCCTTGTGATTCAAATTCAGCATATGTTATACTAAGATGGTTTCTCTTGTAAGGCATCAAGTGATATTGCAAATATGTTAATTACTATCAAACTTTTGTATTAACAAATGTTCTGAGATAGATAAAATAAAAACTGCTACTATATAATGCCATAGTAGTGCTACTATTTTATTTCTATTAAAACAGTCCCTCTACTTGTCCCATACACTTCTCCCATCAACCCATCCATGAGTGTAGATCAGCAAACATTCATACACAAGCAAACACAATCACATTACCTAAGCATGCAGCAGCGCCAACCATGGCATAAAGGCCAGGTGTAATACAGTCAGCCCCGACCTCACACCACTCCTTAAATATAAACCAGTCATGGTGATAGTACGCAAGTTGTTCCACTGCAATCCCCACTATCCTCCCGGCAATCGCTCCAATAGCCATACTGGGGATGAACAAGCCTGACGGAACCTACAACAACAACAGAACGCTGAATGAGGCAGAGATCTTCTACTTCTGTACTTGAAACCTACATCCTATGAATTTATTTCTGACACTTTTGAGTCATTTCACATTTTATTCATATAAAAATTCTAATACAAATAAAACTGTAACAAAATATTATTATAACAATACCTTAGCAATACCATAAATTCAGTTACAAAGTAACATCATATTCTGTAGATCAAAGAGAAAATAACTCAAGGGTTATTTATTTTTTGGCTCATGGGTTCCCTAATTGCAGTCTCTAACAAAATTTTCATTAGTCCATGGTGAAACAAGAAAAATAAACAAAAAGGGACAATATAAAGTATTTTTCATAAACCTATACAACTCAATTTGAAGTACTATACTTTATTCCATTATTATGTCCTTCTTACATATATACAAATGATGGTGATATTAGGTATTATTCCACTTAAGTGCTACAAGGCAGGCAATCTTCAGTATCCACCCAGTATTTTGATTATATATATACATATATAAAATCAATTAAAAAGAGAAAAATATTTGAATAAATTTAACAAGGAAAACAGGAATAGCAAACACATTCATTAAGATCATTTAAGAGTTCTGTACGACTAACAACTCTAAACTGTTCTGGATATGCAAACAAGTCCAGCACAGAATGACGGTGTGTGGGAGCATGTCAAGATCATTAGAGATACACAACAGAAAGGATCAAAGAATGTGCTGAATTCTCCTGCCAGTTATGATCCTTTAGCCAGACTTGAATGTAACACAGAACTTAACAAATGCCTATCAATTGCCTCCAGCTTCCTGTGGTTCAACTAATGATGAGGAAGCTGGGATTTACAGAAAACTGATTTTGTGTAGGAAAAAATGCTTTAACATCTCCCTTAATTTTATTTACTAAAAAGAGTAAAAAAGTTAAACTTCAAGACTTCTCTATTATTTATCTCACAGTGGACTAAACACACAGTACAACAGAAAACCAACCTCCAAAAAGTAAAACCACTCCAATCACATTGAAATAAAGTTGTTATTCTACATAGATTTATACCTGTGAAAGCACACTGCCACTAGAAAATACTATTACATGTACAGAGGTGTAATAATTTAAATTATAAGGATAAACTGACATATGCTTCTGCATATGTTATGTGCTATGACAGTACTAGAAGAAAATTATATTTACTGATATATAATCAATGAATGTTATTCTTACTTTGGTAAGTTCAACGGAAGCTATGTCTGAGGGCAGAAGGTCCAGATGGCTTACATTCTTGATGGAAAAAGGCACGGGATTCACAGGACTCGCAATGTAATTCTGAGTCTACAGTGTCCTCACAAGCTACAATAAGCTAACATCCTAAAGCGATATGACAGGTTTTCCAAAGATAACCATATCCTGGTTTCTAAAACTTGTGAATCTGTTATGCTACACAGCAAGGAGGAATTAAGTTTGAAGATAGAATTAAGGTTGCTAACCAGTTGATATTAAAACAGGAGATCATTCTAGATTATCTGGGTGGCCCTAAAGTAACCACAAGAGTTTTTAAATGAGGAAGAGAGCTTTAGAAGTGTTAGTGTCAGAGTTATGAGATGAGAGAAAGACTTGACTAGGCATTCCTGGCTCTGACGGAAGAAGGAGGTCATCAAGCAAGAAATGTGGGAAGTCTCTAAACGATGATAAAGACAAATAAACAGACTCTCTCCTACAGCCTCATGAGCATCTTTATCTATCCTTTTCAGACTTCTGATCTCCAGAACTGTTAAGGTAACACATTTGTGTGATTTCTAAACACTAAGTTTGTGGTAATTTATTACAGCAGCAATAGTGAACTAGTACATGCAACTGATACATATCATGTATACATACAACTAATATATGATTATGAATTTGCTGATGCTCCCTTCTCCTGAACCAAACTGGACCACTGTGATTATCTCAATGAATAGACTTGAAAGGGAAGTCATGTGATAGGATTTCTCGGGCCAGGCTCGAAACAGCCATCTGGGACACTTGCTTTTAGGGTGCTGAGTTACCATGTAAGAAATACAAGTATCCTGAGAACATCATGCTGGAAAAACCAGAGACACAGAGACACAAAATGACAATCTATGAGCTCAAATGTTCCAGCTCCAGTTGTGTGAATCTTCTCAGCCCAAGCACTAGACACAGGAATGAAGAGAGCTTTGAGATAACCAGGCCCTAACCATGTCTGATGATGAGCAATTACAAGCAAAAAACACCCAGTTGACTGACCCCTTCCCAAACTGTTAACCCAGTATCAAGAACAAATTAAATAGTTATCTTAAGCTGCTGAATTCTGGATTAATTCATTACACAACAACAAGTAACATCTTCAACAATATATCCTAAGGAATTTTTTTCATTACTTAAAATTAGACTCCAAGATAAGTATCTTTTCAGCCTACATTCAGAAAACAACCTTTAGATAAAAACTGCACCTCTCATTTTACATTAAGTTTTGAATGTACCAAGATTACTTAAATATCACCTCATACCAGCACTTACCTTAATACCAAAAGTGAACACCGTCATTATGATCTTAAATATGAGTGCTAAGCACAACTGCCATATAGCTGAATACACGCCAATGCCTGCTGGACGATCAGGAATATCATCAACAATTTTACTGGCATTCATGTCATTTCTGTAGTCACAAAGAGAAGAGGACTCCAGAGGCCCACAGTCTGTAAAAAGCTCTTTAATCAGTTCACTGGTGTTGAGTCTAGTGTATGGATTAGGGAAGGCAATCACAGCTGTAATGGCTGCAACAATAATGACTTCAAGAACAGGATACTTTCCAAATTTGGTGGATTTGCGTCGACGACACCAGGCAATATTTGCCCTAATGAAAAAGGCTCCCCAAAGCCCTCCAAATACCCCTAGGAGAATAAAAGGAAACAGTTCAAAAAGGTACCATGGTGTATGATACTCCACATAAAAAAGGACCAGACGACTGTTACCAAACGGATTGATGGATCTCAAAACAAATGCAGCCACTAAAGCAGCAAAAAATGATCTCCATAAAGTTTTGAGAGGAAAATAATAGCTAACCTACAAAAAAGGGGGGGGGGGAGAAAGAAAAATCAATGCTATAATTTTTTAAGATTATAACTTGACCAGTAAATATCTCTAAATTACAGATAGCAGACTTTATATAATGAAAAGATATTAATATTTTAATATATTTACCTATCACATTATTACAAATTCACAATATCTAGTGATCATTAAAAAGTAAATTTAAAAATAGTCCTAGCTATATTTTTGTGTAAATATTTTAAAAAAGGAAGAAGTCTTCACATCAATGAAAACTCAAAACCAAATTATTCTACTGAAGCAACTAAAATGATTTCCTTAAATGTCAATAATGGTATCAGAAATAACCATACTCATAAAAAGTTTACAAGACAATTTAGAATTAAAATATAAAAAAATAAAATCACAGGCTATTATTTTAGCCAATACATGTAGACTGTTTTAAAAGTCTTCTCTTAAATAAGTTCAAAACCTCTTAAATATGTCACAATGTAAAGTTAAATTTTAAAGAACTACTAATATTTACACATGAATAATAGATTTAAATTTTTTTCTCCAGGTAAAAAATACATGTAGCAGTTTTTTATATAAAAATTAGTGAAAAATTTTATATAAAATTTGAAAAGACTAACAAAAAGTATGAACTTATTAAATTAGCTATAAAACTGAAACATGTGCCAAAATATATTTGTAATAATTATGTATAGTTTTAACTGCTGTAACTTTTGACCTACCTCCTCCAGACTAAAAAGAACTCCTCCAATCGGGGCACCAAAAGCTACAGAAACACCTGCAGCAGAGGCAGCTGATAGCACCTAGAAAGAGGATGTGGCTTATTTCATATTTTCTTGTAAAGTCAGGTATATAAAATAAATATCCTTAATATTATTTGAATTTTCCAAATGTCTCTTCTAAATTTAACTTATATGTCTCCCTCCTCCCCAAGCAAAGGGCAAATATTCATTTCTTTTAAAAATATTTTTACTCTTCTGCTTTCAACTGAAAGGTCATTCATACACTCACTATTCAGTCAAAGACATTTGAGCCAGGCATACTAATATGAACAGAATGTAAAGAAAGGGAGGCTCCTAGAGCACAAGCAGCTTTCAAGATGTTATGTTTATCTGGACAAGAGCAGAGAGTATTAACTGAGATTTGGGGGACAATTTTGTTTACTTATTTAAATAGGATATCATTTCTTCAGATTTTAGAGCATACTCCTTCACCATTAATAATTACTCTATTCCAAATACTAGAAAGATTTTCAGAGAATTAACACCTATTCAAACTTTGTATTTTCACTACCCTAAACCCTCTGAAAATATGCTGTTGTCAATATACAGAGTCTCATTCTAGAAATACAAATCACAGCTCTTCAAGTGAGCTTCATCAACCAGAATCCCTAAAGTAAAATTAAAAGAAAAGAAAAATCAACCACACATTCTTCTGTTCTCTAACTCCATAGTCTATCCCTCAACCACTGCCAGCAGTCTAGCATCAACCACAAATATAATTTCACTGGGCACTTATTTCTAACTATTTTTCTAGAGTCTTTAATCCTTTCAATACTTTAAACCAGGCAAACATCTGAGGCTACCTAAAGCATTTTCTCAAATAGCAAATGTTTGTATTTCTTGAAGAGAAATTAGAAATAATAAAAATTAAGTTGTAAACGATTAAGACCATGAACTACATAGTCAGGCTACTGGGTTGCAAATTCTGGTTCTGCCACTTACTAGTTATATGGCTTACACTATGTACCTCAGCTTCCTCTTCTCTAAAATGGAGATATGTTATCACCAAGTTCATAAAGATTGAGTAAATGCACATAAAGTGCTTAGAACAGTACTTGGCATTCAGTAAGCACTATATAAAATTTAGTAAGTCACAAAGTAACTGGTATTTGTTTTAATTAAACTGTACCTGACTACAGAAATAAGGATTCTGCTTGTTTGGGGGGAGGAAAGGAAACAACTTTAACTTCCATTTTTTTCTAATAATAGGATTGCATACAACACATTTATTTAAAGTTCTAAGTCTACATGTTGATACAATAGAATTTTATAATCAAGCTAATATTATGTATCCACAACTCACACACAATTGAATCCGTTCCAAACGTTAACTAAGAAGCACTTACTTTAAATACATCAAAGAAGTAGGCACTGGAAGCAAGCTAAAATATGGGGCCTTAATGCTTTCAACTAACAAATGAAATCTTGCATTTATATACTACAGTCAAAGAATAACAATGCCATAACATTAACTAATGACCACACAGTGTGCACATTACAAAGTAGGTGGATTAAGTTAATTTCTGTAACATTTTCTAATAAACTACATTTTTAACTTAAAATGAATACATTACAATTTATCCATAGTGTTTCAACAGAAAGAAAAGAATTGAACTGGGAAAGTAAATACTATAGCTCTATCTTGGCCAATAACTTGCTGTGCTCTAGTATGATACTTTTAGGTTTTATTTATAACTTACAAAAAGATACACCCACACAGCTGTAGTAGTTTTATACAGTAAAGTACTTTATACAGTAAAGAGCAGATTTTGAAGTCAGAGAAAAATGAGTTTTAATATATATGCTGCAACTAACCACCTCTGAGATCTTTTGGTGAGTCATTTTAAGCTCTGATTTCCTATTCTATAAATGAGAATAATAATATCTTGTTATCAGATTATGAAATTAAATTTCTACATGCATGTAAAGTACCTGCCACAGTACCATGTACACAGTCAGTAGTCAATAATGAAGGCTATTTTTGTTTCACAGTAACATATTGGAATCACAATTGTTCAGAGATGGAACTGTGAGGTTCTGAAGTGTTCAGCATAAAATAAAAAAAAAATATTTATTTGTTTTGAAAGAGTTATAAGGTGGGAAGGGAGAGATCCTCTTGCATCTGCTGGTTCACGCCCCTAATGTTCACAACAGCCAGGACTGAATCAGGCCAAAGCCACGAACCAGGAGCTTCATCCAGTCTCCCATCTGGGTGCCTGGGTCCAAACACCTGGGCCATCCTCTGCTGCTTTTTCCAAGCACATTAGCAGGGAACTGGATCAAAACAGGAACAACTAGGACACTAACTGGCATCCAAATGAGATGCTGGCACTGCAAGTGGTGGCTTTACCCATTATGCCAAAATGCCAGCCCCGGGATTGGGCTCCTGAAGTCTAGAACTAATTTGCAAAACTTTAGGAGCTCATTTTCTTCTAGAAAACTCAGAACAATCAAAAAACATCAAGGAAAGCCTATAAAAATATATGTAAAGTTTAAATATCTCCTAGAAGATCTCAGCCTAGTCTGAGGAAACAACAGCAGGGGGCCAGTGTGGGGGCATAGCGAATAAAGCCCCACCCACAATGCCAGCATCCCGTATGGATGCGAATTAGTGTCCTGGTTGCTCCTGTTCTGATCCAGCTTCCTGCTAATGTGCCCAGGAAACAGAGGAAAATGGGCCAAGTGCTTGAACTCCTGCATCCATGTGGGAGACCTAGAAGAAGCTCCTGGCTCATGACTTCAGCCTGGCCCAGCTCCGGCTGTTGTGGCCATTTGGGGAGTGAACCAGTGGATGCAAGAGCTCTCTCTCTCTCTCTGTGTCTCTTCCTCTCTCTCTGTAACTTTGACTTCCAAATAAATAAATAAATAAATATTTAAAAAAAGAACAGGAAAGAAAACTGCCTTAAACAGCTGAATAAAGAGGATTTCCTGCATCCTTCTTTTAATGTGAACTGCTGATTTAAACTTCAGGAGTTCTTAAATGTCCTTAGAACGTCCCCCTAGTGCTGGACAGCTTTCTACATATCACACACCACTTCCACTGGCATTAGATACTACCTTCAGAAGCAAAACACAGCAATTAAGATTTCCCAACTGTGAAGATAGAATACTGTTGATAAGTAAAAGCAAAAACACTATGCTTGGAAAACATGTCAGAAAAGAAAAAGTACATAAGGCTATGTGAAAACAAATGGAAAGATCTTTGCAACATTCAACTGAAACCCAATGGGTACTAAGTAAACCATGCAAAGCTTCTCTAAAATATACGGGCAATACACTGAAGGAACTGCATCTCCAGAGAAAGACACATCAATGGGGACTCAGGAGAGGCCTTCCATCCCCAATTTAAAAAATCCTGATGAAACTCAATGGCTCTAGAGAATCCCCACCCCAAACATCAATGATTCCAACATGAACTTGACACCACAGAATCCAGCTACCCTTGGATAAATAGAATGCTCTTTGAGACTCCTCAGCCACACATTTTCATCAACATGAGTGATTCCGGCATGTATTTGATAGCACAGGATTAAGTCAAATACACAATGCAGAGGCAGGGTCAAGAATGCACTGCATTCACCCACCAACAGCAGGAAGAGCTAGAGAATTTGTTTTAGCCAGATCATGAGCTCAGAGAAAAATCTACTGTAGGAACTAGTTTGAAACCCATTCTACTGAGATCAGCAATAAAAGCATAATTTGGAAACAGATGATTCTGAGGAAGCAGCAGCAGCAATCACTAATGCAACCAAGCCAGATCCTTCCCATCAAGACTTCACTGAGACTGTCTGCCAACTCTTTTTCATTTTGGCCTGTGCTTTCAGATTTTCAAAGCTCCCTTCCTCCTCAGTCCCAATGTCCTACCAACTGGGCATAGGACTCTATCTCTATCTCCAGAGAGAGTCCTACAAGTGATTTCTCCTTGCAAGATTCTTGGGTAGAGAGCTGGCAGCCTCAGCTCACACTTCACACTCACTCTGAAGCCTATAACATAGATGAAATAATACTAAAACTGCACACTTTTCCTGATAAGGATGAGATATCCAGCTCTTCCTTCCATGCCTACATCAGTATCTCTCACCCACAAGGCCCTATCACGAAGGACAGGGTCCTTTCATAGCACTCTGGCTGATCCAGCTGCAGGTCTATCTCCTGGACAAACCTGGTCAGTATCAGAAATCAAGGTTTTGGAGCCTACAGTCTAAGACATAGCATGGAACTCCAGAAAAACTCCAGTATGAACTTCTCTGATCAAGTAACTAATAAATATTAGATCATTTAGAAAAAAGTAAATAAATAATATCATATAGGAGTAATTGAGTAGCTCTGGAAAGGAATTCTAAAAAGATGTTAGAGATTATCCAAAAAAAGAAACACAAACTAATGTCAAATGAAATTTTTAATCTGAATACAGCATTTACCCAAAAAGTACAGAGTAAAATACAATGTTGACATGAGGAAATTATTTAAAAAAATTTTTAAAGTTTCTTTGAGTTATTTATTTGAAAGACAAAGAGAGATTGATCTTCTGTCTGGTTGCTCACTGCCCAAATGCCCTGGCACTGGAGCAGGCAGCCCAGAACTCAATAAGGGCCCCCACATGGGTAGCAGGGACAAAACCACTTGGGCCATAATCTGATGCTGCCCAGGATCTGAATTAGCAGGAATCTAGAATGGAAGTACGCATCCACACTCAAACCAACCACACATGCCAATATAGGACACAGGCATACTGGGCAGTGGCTTAACTGCTGCATCACAACACTTGCCCCAGAAGTTCTTCACTGACATAAAGTCTACATAACAGATCATTTGTCTGTCAATATGAACAGAAAACACAGACACTTACCTCCCTTTTTTTAGCTTCATTTGTGCTATACTTTGGAAAGAGGTAGGAAAAGATATTTCCACAGCAGCAGGCAACATGGACCAAGGGACCTTCTTTTCCTAAACTCAAACCTGATGCCACAGCCAGAACCAAAGTGATGGTTTTAATCATTAAAGTCCATTTTCCCAAGTAACCTCTGATGATGAATCCACTCAAAATGGTTTTAATCTACAAAAGAAATATTAAGGCAGTTTATAATCTCTTTTAAGAAATAGGATATTCTAACTAATCTAAGTTATTCTCTTGTTTTTCTCATAAAACTATCTTGCAAATTTGTGACAAACTATGAAACAACTCATTTTTCCAAAAAATTTTTATGTTACATATAATAAATCTGTATCACATTCTAATTCTCATGAATAAAATCTAAATATCAAACCACGTTAAAGTCAATACTTAATTAGAAGGGTTATAATATATTTCAGGAACAGTCAAATATGAATTCTTTTGTTATGAAAATAAGCATAACATATTTAGATAATTGCCTGCCTGCTCGGAGTACTGTAATTACATATATCACTTTTCTGTATATCACGAAGGATGAAAGATTAGTAAATACTATACAATATTGATTCTTATTAAAGATGTCAACTAGTACAGCTTTTAAAATCAATAAAATTTACTTGTAAAAAGAAATGTATTAGGAAAAGAACTAGTAATTTATTTAAGGACAGAAAAACAAAGAAGGCAAAGAAAGGAATTTACATCAAGTTCAATCCTAAGTATAATTTTCTGTTAAATTATAGTTGATGGGAAAACAAAACTCAAAATTTGGTACTACTGACACACTGATATCAAATGCTTTCTCAAAATATACAAAAATATACAATAGCCAAATTCAAGAATCATTAACTAATCAAAAGACAATTATAAAAAAGAAGATGACTATTAAGATCAGGGTTATTAGAGGAAAACATCAAATAATCCATCAAAGAACTTTAGGCCACAGGATATTTTTCCTGGCCTTTGATGTTTAATTAAGGGTTCTAAGAACTTATTTAGACATGTGCTGAATGACTGGAAGAGGAGAGAAAGAAATCAGCCTACACAATAAAAATGATAAATAACTATGGGGAAAAAATTTTAATGATATCAACAATCAGTTTATATTGTTTGAAAATGTGCTTTTGAATATTACAAATGACCCAATTTCCCCAAAAATATTTTTTCATTCAAAGCCCAAAAGATAAGCACTATAACAATTACTGTTCAATGATACTAAAATTATATAGCTTACCTCTGGAATTCCAGAGCCACAGGCATATGGAGCAAATACCTTTACCAGGGAAACTGCAAGAAAGGCAAAACTCAAGGCCCAGAAGATGTACATTATGTAGTTCATGATGTAAGAACCAGGACCCTAAAAAAGCAATAAAGTCAAGGGTTTGAATTTAATAGTGTACCTCTAATGCAACTGCTTGCCAAAAAAGAAAAGCCGGGTAAAGCATGTAGAAGTTTTCCATTTTATTTTTACAAGAAAAATGTGTCCAACTCTGCTTATCCACAAACCACCTTTTGCAAACAGTTGGTGGGGACAAGATTGCACTGGCACTCAAAATTCACTCTGCTGTACTTCTCCTGAATTTCACTAAACTCAATTCAACTAAGACAAGTGAAAAACAGCACACTGTCCATCTTGTCAGCAAATATATTCTTGCTAAGATTACAAAATTTTAAGAATATAATCATATATGACCATGCAACAATATGTATGACATTGTGAGTTCTAGAATATTCTTTTATTACAGAATATCATAGTAGTAAAATAATCATTTAAATACTGTAATACAAAAAAAACCCACAAAATCTCTGAATTTCTTCAAGATACATCCATTTAGAAGGTTTATTTTTAAGCCGGCGCCGCAGCTCACTAGGCTAATCCTCCGCCTAGCAGCGCTGGCACACTGGGTTCAAGTCCCAGTCGGGGCGCCGGATTCTGTCCCGGTTGCCCCTCTCCAGGCCAGCTCTCTGCTGTGGCCAGGGAGTGCAGTGGAGGATGGCCCAAGTGCTTGGGCCCTGTACCCCATGGGAGACCAAGAAAAGCACCTGGCTCCTGGCTCCTGCCATCGGATCAGCGCGGTGCGCCGGCCGCAGCGCGCTGGCCACGGCGGCCATTGGAGGGTGAACCAACGGCAAAGGAAGACCTTTCTCTCTGTCTCTCTCTCTCTCACTGTCCACTCTGCTTGTCCAAAAAAAAAAAAAAAAGGTTTATTTTTAGGGATAAGAATTTGGCAGAGCAGTTAAGATGCTGCTTGGGACATCCACACCCCATATTAGAGGGTCTGGGTTCAAGTCCTTGCTCCCCTTCTGTCTGTGGCTTCCTGCTATCCCTGAGAGGTAGCCCGTGAAGGCTCATGTGTTTAGGTCCCCACCACCCACATGCGAGACAAAGACTGGTTCCAGGTGTCTGACTTCGGCATGACCCAACCCAAACTTCTGTGGGAGTCAGGAATGAATCAGCAGAAGGCAGGTCTCTGTTTCTCTCCCTTTCAAATTAAAAAAAAAAAACAAAAAAACAAAACAAAAAAACAAAAAAAAAAACCCTACTTTTTAAAAAGATTTGTTTATTTATTTGAAACACAGAATTACAGGGAGGAACAGAGAGGTGGGGATGGGGGGGAGAGGGAGAGAGGGAGAGAGGGAGAGAGAGAGGGAGGGAGGGAGAGAGGGAGAGAGGGAGAGAGGGAGAGAGGGAGAGAGGGAGAGAGGGAGAGAGGGAGAGAGGGAGAGAGGGAGAGAGGGAGATTGACTGACTGATTTTCTATCTACTGATTCACTCCCTAAATGGCCTCAACAGCCAGGGCTGGGCCAGGCCAAAGGCAGGGGCTTCATCCAGATCTCCCACATTGGTGCAGGCAGGGGCCCAAAGACCTGGGCCATTTTCCACTGCTTTCCCAGAGGCACTAGCAGGGAGCTGGATCAGTAGAGCAGCCAGGACACAAACCAGTGTCCAAATGGGATGCCTGCATCACAGATAGCAGTTTAACTCGCTATATCACAGCACTGGTCACCAAACTTTTTTAAAAACCACTTATTTATTCATCTTTTTCATAATTCATACTTTCTAATCTTAGTTACATAATGTTAAACGTTTTTAAAAATTGTACTCACATTAACCTTACATAGATCTTATTCTTTTCTACAATTCACAATAAACGTACTTGTATTTGCAATATAACCTAATGGACTTGTATATGACTACATGGTTAACTGATACAAAAAACTAATTGAGATAATACAGATTAAGTATCCCTTATTCAAAATGCTTGGTAATGGAAGTGTTTAAGATTTTTTTTATTTTGAAATATCTGCACGTATATGATGAGATATTTTTAACAAAAAGATATTTGTTAAATTCATTTTTTACATACACCTCATAGACATGGTCTGAAAGTAACTTATACAATATTTGCAGTGTGCCTGTATTTTGACTTCAACCCTTCATATGAGGCCAGGTGTGCAATTTTCCACTTTGGGAGTTAAATCAGCACTCATAAAGGTTTAGATTTTAGAGCATTTCAGATCTTGCATTTTTCACATTAGAGATATTCAACTTGAACTATTTCTTTCCTGCTGCAATGTATCCTCATATTTTCCATTCTATTCTAATTTTTCTTCATTTAATGTAGGTTACATTCATCTAATACGTGATTAATTCTGTAATTAAGTGAGATTGAGACCCTTTGCTATTATCAATTATTAATTCATCTTGAGACAAAGCAAGACTTACTTCTGCTTGGCCTATGATTAATTCTGCCCATGTTTTCCACTGTGGACATTTATCTCTCTCTTCAAATGTTGTTTCATTAGATCCCCAACAACACTGTTCATGGTTGTACCATAACGCACTAAGGCAAATGCCCTCCTTCAAGTCAGTCATCCAATCAGCAGCAATGTCTATTAAACCAGCCAATGCCCCTGTAAAAAAATATTCAGGATAGTAAAAATATTAATAAATCCATTTTTGGGGTGTCAAGAATGATCTAGATTCAAGAGGTAGAGACAGCAGAGGACTTGCTATAAATAAAGGGTCATTTTGAGACTACTACATGAATTACAGATTTTCAAATTGTAATAAAAAATGTTCATTTTTTTAAAACTATAAATAGTTGTTCTGTAAAATAGTTATTTTGAATTAAAACCAGCCATATCATTCAAGTTAACTTATTTTTTTAAAAGGTGCTTCAATGACACTGAAACATCTTTGCAAGGCTACTTGGAAGGAGGTTCACAAATCTGGTTAGGAAGTCAGGAATTTTACTAGTATGTTTTCATCCAAAATTTAAATAACACAATAAAATTTAATGTCCACTAGAAATTGTGAATCACAGTATTCATGAATTACTGTGACAAATTTGCAAGTTTTTCTTAAAACAGAAAACCATATAGACTGAGATTATTTTGCTGGCAGAATATAAACAAATATACAAATTTATGGTCTAATCTGGGCCCTTCTTGTCAGATGAAAAATAAATGGGTCATGTACACAGAAGCCACAAAATTCTCATGCGTGCAACTAGTACTTCCCTCTATTCTTCACAAAATTTTAATATTTCATGTTCTTCTGTACATAGTCTTCCACGATGGAAACTGAAAATGATTACAACAGTCCTTAATATTTGTTTTCAGATCCTAAACAGTTATTTAAGTTCTAAATACAGTAACTTTTTGTGGCCATTCTGTATAGCGTGGCGATTAAAGGAGCAGGCTTAGATTCTAGTTCTGCCATAGCCACTTACTAGCTGTAAATCAGGTTACTTAACTCCTCTTCTGTTTCAATCTCCTCATCTTTACAATGGTTATGATGACAGTATCTATACCATAGGATTGCCATAAAGTTTACATAATATACATGTGAACTTTTTAGAACAGTGCATGACACATACTAAACAGTCTCTAAGTATGTGGTAGTTATTATGATATTAAAATCAAAAGATATTTTCCTGATTATCTGCTCAAAAACCACTCATTTTGATATGGAAGTTGAGCCCATTAATATCAATCAAGTTGCCAAAACTAGATTTGGAAGCCTCCTACCTCCTAGTCTTATATTTAAGAAGATTTTTTTTAAAGGAAACAAACAAATGTGTTTTAAAATCCAATAATAAAAATAATTTTAAAAAGATTTAGCAGTACTTGAAATACAAAGAATTGAGTCAGGGAGGAGAGAACTATTTACAGTTCTTATAACTAAAAAAAAGGATTGTTTTTAAGTTTTTCTTTACCTGATGCCAATCCTGTTAGTGTTACTACTAGCCATCCTGACCACGCATCATACAAGCTTTTTGTCATTTCCCATGCTGATTCTTTCTTTTTGCTGTTGATCTGAAATAAGAAATGTCCATGCTTCATTTTCCAAACTAAGAACAGAAGCCACAATTCTAGAATCTAGTAGTTTGTCTTATTTTCTACACAGAACAGTACTTTCTGACCTAAATAATAAGAAAGGTAATTTGGGGACAAAATACTGGTATACCTGTATAACCAGATGATAAGCATTAACCCAGAGATCTGTGTATTCAGTAAGTACCTTCAGATTTTGGTGCAAGAATTCCACAAATCATAGAAAGTCTGACCTTAGGTTGTTAGGAATTGAAACAAATTCAAACTTTAATTGGCAGATCTATTTTTTTCATTAATGGAAGGCAACATGGTTTGAAATGTCATCTCCTAGTCCTATCAGTTAAGTGGATTACAATTTTCTTTGAAAGGTAAGATCAGTGAATGATAGTAAATTCCTGTAAGTACATTATAGAACAGTCATATGGACAAAGAAACTTCCAAAACTCTTATCCCTGAAAATATGCAGGTGTGGAGAGGTCCAGTCCCACTGGTAGGGTACAAAGGATCTTTAACCACTGTGCAAAGCCAAAGAAAATTGTTGTCCACTGAATACAGATTAAGAAATTTGGGGATTGACAAGAAAGTACTAATTCTGATCCATCTAGATCTCATTCTACTAAGATACAAGAAAGCTAGTCTCACCTCTCTAGACAATGTACTTATTCTAAACCTTTCCATTGTGAGCCCAAATTTCTGTCCTACTAGAATTGTTGCTTTTAAATACCATTTTCCTGGGCTGACATTGTACAGTCAGTTGAGCCAATGCTTGAAATGCTGGCATCTCATCTTGGAGTGCCAGTTCAAGTCCTGGCCATTCAGCTTCCAATCCAGTTTCCTGCTAATGCACCTGGGAATGCAGTGGATGATGGCTCAGATACTTACATCTCTATCTTCCACACTAGAGAGCGCCACATTAGCCCCAGCCATTGTGGCCATTTGGGGAGTGAATCAGCATATGAAAGGTGTGTGTTGTGTGTGTGTGCGTGTGTGTGTGTGTGTGTGTGTGTGTATGTGTGTCTCCCCCACTTCCTGTCATTCTGCCTTTCAAATAAATACATCTTTTTTTTTTTTTTTTTTTAAGCCATTCAGTACTTTAGTACCTTGGAGCATGGCTTACAGCTTTGAAATTCATTGACTTGGTCTAATTGAAGAGAACCAACCAGATGGAAGAAGTCTCTATCTTTGTCTCTTTCAGTTGTTCTGCCTCTCAAACAGATGTAAATAAATAACTAAACATTTGAAATAAAAAAAAATTAACTAGGGGGCCAGTGTTGTGGCTTAGCAGGTAAAGCTGCCATCTACAATGCCAGCATCCAAAATGGGTGCTAGTTCATGTCCCAGCTGCTCCACTTCCAATCTAGTTCCATGCTAACGACCTGGGAAGGCGGCAGAATATGGCCCAAATACTTGGGCTCCTGCTACCCAAGTGGGAGACCACATGAAGTCTCTGGCTTTAGCCTTGCCCTGCCCTGAGCATTGTGGTCATCTGGGAAGTGAACCATTGGATAGAAGATCTCTCTGTCTCTCTTTCTCTGTAACTCTGTCTTCCAAATAAATAAATCTTAAAAAAAAAAAATTAACAATCTAGGGAGAGATGACTGATATGATTAGCTAAAACACACAGGTGATTTGGCTACTTCATATATAGCTATATTATTTTGACACAATTATTTTCTTACTAAATATATTTTAGTTTGGAAAATGTGGTCAGTTTTATAAAAATGTTAATATATAATAAGTTGTATTATTTTACATTAATAATTATTTTTTAAATTTCTGTTTTAGTATTAAGCATGATAAATATCAACTGATAGTACCTACATAAATAAAATCTCCTTAGGGAGTGTTTTATTTATATATTTTTTGACAGGCAGAGTGGACAGTGAGAGAGAGAGAGAGAGAGAGAGAGAGAAAGGTCCTCCCTTTTCTGTTGGTTCACCCCACAATGGCCACTGCAGCCAGCGCACCACGCTGATCCAAAGCCAGGAGCCAGCAGCCAGGAGCAGGGCCCAAGGACCTGGGCCATCTTCCACTGCACTCCTGGGTCACAGCAGAGAGCTGGACTGGAAGAGGAGCAACTGGGACAGAATCCGGCGCCCTGACCGGGACTAGAACCCGGAGTGCCAGCGCTGCAGGTGGAGGATTAGCCTACTGAGCCATGGCGTTGGCCTCCTTAGGGAGTCTTAAATGTTTTATTAGAGCTTAAAGGGAATCTGAGATCAAAAAGTTTAAGAATCACTGGATAAGCACATTGATTTCACATACTATGTTTTCCTTCAGTGATGCCTAAAGGTTTAAATATCCCCTGGATAATCTCAGAAGTTGTACTTCCCACAAAAAAAAAAAAAAAAAAACAAAACCATAATCTAATCCCAATTTCAGTTTTCATGGACATGTACACCTTATTGTGAAAGTTTATAACTTATTTATATGAAATTATTCTTGATAAAGTACATTTTGGATTACATTATGTCCATAAGTAATGATCAACAACAAAAAGGATCCAAATATTGTACTTTATGTTGAAGTCATTTTGGAGGTTGAGGAGTGGAATTAGTGATTCATTTCAACACTCAGTAAGCCTTACTTGGGAGCAGCCTGAGAAAATACGACAGAATTTTAAGATTGGTAAATGGTATAAAAGAACGTATCAAAATTCTACAAAATTGTCTCACTTGAACATTTATTCTTTTTTTTAACTATAAGAGTTATGCGGCCGGCGCCGCGGCTCACTAGGCTAATCCTCCGCCTTGCGGCGCCAGCATACCAGGTTCAAGTCCTGGTTGCCCCTCTTCCAGGCCAGCTCTCTGCTATGGCCAGGGAGTGCAGTGGAGGATGGCCCAAGTGCTTGGGCCCTGCACCCCATGGGAGACCAGGAGAAGCACCTGGCTCCTGCCTTTGGATCAGCGCAGCGCACCGGCCGCAGCGCGCTGGCCGCGGCGGCCATTGGAGGGTGAACCAATGGCAAAAGGAAGACCTTTCTCTCTGTCTCTCTCTCTCACTGTCCACTCTGCCTGTAAAAAAAATAAAAAAAAGAGTTATGCAACAAGTTTCCCCTTTTGCCTCAGCTGCAGGCATGCTCAAAGCCAAAAACCATACAGGTCTTTATATCTTCAACTTAACTTGATCTTACCCAAATTTCTATAGTGTGTTTTTTCTTTTCCTTCCTATTTTGTCTACTTAGTGAGTTTATCTGTTTGTAAGCTACCACAAATCCTTTCCAGAAAGGTATGATATATAAATAATCAATAACAACAACAAAAACACACAAAGAAAAAAAAAGTCACATATGAAATGTAAAATTTACCTAAGTATATTTTAATGTGTAACTTATATGTTGGCAACAGGAGATCATAATAATATAATAATAATATTATATTATATTATTAAATAACTTAATTACTTATTATATAAATACAAAGTATCAAAAACACTTACCCGTCTATGTCTTTCTCTGTCTTTACATTTTTCTCGAACCCAGTCAATAGTATGGAAATCATCATATGTACCAACACCTGGAATTGGTTCATCCAAAAGATCCAGTAGATGTGTAGAACTGTTGATGCTACCTCCATTCGTCATTGTATAATGAGTTCCTTGAGAACAAAAAAGGAAAGGAAAGACAAACACTTTATGAGAGACAACAGTGAGTTATGTAATCTTAGAAGTTCAATGTGGGGGCTGTGGCGCAGTAGACTAGGCCTCCGCCTGAGGTGCCTGCACCCCATATGGGCACTAGTTTGAGTCCCAGCTCCTCCTCTTCCGATCCAGCTCTCTGCTATGACCTGAGAAAGCAGTAGAATATGGTCCAAGTCCTTGGGCCCTTGCACTCACATCAGAGACCCAGAAGATAATCCTGGCTCCCGGCTTTAGATCAGCCCAGCTCTGGCCATTGTAGCCATTTAGGGAGTGAACCAGTGGATGGAAGAAATTTCTGTCTGTCTGTCTCTCTCTCTCTGTAATGCTACCTCTTATATATATAAATAAAATCTTAACAAAATAAGTTAACTGTGAACTCACAAAGAAATACTATCATTTGAGATAATTGAAACAAAATATTTTAAAAAACTATCCAAAAATTATGCCATACCCTTTCAATGTCATAGCACAGTACTAATTAACAACTCTGCCCAACTCTCATCTGATGTGCTGGAGAAGAGAATTGTATGGCTTGCTCTTTAATTGTGACTGGGGGATAGAATACATAAAGTTAGAAAATGCCTTGTAGAAGACTGATAAATAGAAAATGGTGATTTTCATCTGTTCAAACACAAATGGAGGGGCAGACATGTGGTGTCATATCCCATATCTAAGTGCCTGGTTTCAAGACTCAGCTCTGCTCCCAATTCTGATTTCGGCTTCCTGTTTATGTGTACCCCGAGAGGCAACAAGTGACAGTTAAAGTACTTGGGTACACGCCATTCATGTGAAGACACAAATTGAGTTTCAGACTTTTGGCCTGCTCTAGTGCCAGCTGTTGAGGCCATTTGGGGAATGAACCATCAGGTGGAAGATTCTCTCTTATATGCTCTGCTTTTCAAATAAGTGAAAAACAAAGCAAAACAAACTACCACACGGCAGATTCTATCCAGGAAAATTAGTAACAAAGGGTAGTGGTTTGCTAGACTCTCTAAGAAAATTTTTCTTCCAATAACTATATAATTTCAGCCTTATATATCATCTTTGGAATAAGCTTCATTGTTGTGATGGCCTCATTAGAATTAAATCAATCTTTGACAAATGTTCCGGATATAGTATATGTGGGTACAACAGACAAAGAAAGTAATAGGAAGGACAATGAAAGACAATTCAAGGGAAAAATACAAATGACTTTTAAATATGAAAAGTTCAATCTAGCACATACAAAGAGATGTAAATCAAATCTACAATATTATTTTCTTCTATCAGACTGGTACACTTAAAAACATGTGTGAGTGCACTGAGTTGGCTAGGTTATGGAGAAAGAGGTCCCATCACAAAATTAGTAGTTTAAATGTAAATTTATGGGGGGCCGGCTCTGTGGCACAGCAAGTTAATGCCCTGGCCTGAAGTGCCAGCATCTCATATGGGCGCCAGTTCGAGACCACTACAATATATATATTGCAGTTAAAAATGGCCTGGGAAAGCAGAGGAAGATGGCCCAAGTCGTTGGCCCCTGCATCCGCATGGGAGACCCAGAGGAAGCTCCTGGCTCCTGGCTTCGGAAGAGTGCAGCTCCGGCCACTGTAGCCAATTGGGAAGTGAACCATCGGATGGAAGACCTCTCCCTCTACCTCTCTCTCCTTCTCCTCTCTCCTTGTAACATTGATTTTCAAATAAATAAATAAATCTTTTCAAAAAATAAATATATATTTATATAATCCTTTAAGGAAGGCAAAAGCTACCAAAATTTAACATACACAGGTACTATCCCCCGGCAAGATTACTTTGAGGAATTTTCCTGCAGTTACACTTATACATATAATTGAATAAATCCATAAATTATGCACAGTGTGGGCAGAACATATTACTATGTGCTATAAAAAGAAAAGAAAAATGTATTCATGCCAAAACGCTTATAACTTAAAAGAGGGGCCAGAAAACAATCACAGACTAACATTTTAAATTTTGAGGTACATACAGTTGCAACGATTCAATTCTGTCATAATAACACAAAGGAAATCAGATAATACCTAAATGAATGTATATGAATACATTCCAGTAAAACAGGAATGAAACAGGTATGAAGGGCAAGATTGGGATCATGGGCCATAGTTTGCCAAGCCCTGACTTAAAGTCTGCACAGCACAAACTAAAATCAACAAAAGACATTTCTTTTTTTTTTTTTTCTTTTTATTTTTTTGACAGGCAGAGTGGACAGTGAGAGAGAGAGACAGGGAGAGAGGTCTTCCTTTTGCTGTTGGTTCACCCTCCAATGACCACCACAGCCTGCGCGCTGTGGCCTGCACACCTCACTTATCCGAAGCCAGGAGACAGGTGCTTCTCCTTGTCTCCCATGTGGGTACAGGGCCCAAGCACTTGGGCCATCCTCCACTGCACTCCCGGGCCATAGCAGAGAGTTGGCTTGGAAGAGGGGCAACCGGGACAGAATCTGGTGCCCCCACCAGGACTAGAACCCAGGGTGCTGGTGCCGCAGGCGGAGGATTAGCCTATTGAGCCACAGTGCCGGCAACAAAAGACATTTATTAAGAATTTTTTTAAAATATAAATGACACTCTTCTATACAGTATACAAGATATAACTATAATAAGAAAACCACTGTCCCTGACTTCAAGGTGCAAGTTCTAAGTTCCCATTCCAAATTATATTTTAAAGCAAAGTTCTAATATCAAAGCACTTTAAGACAAATGTTATTTGTTAATTACATTTAATTCGACACAGAGAAATCTTAGGATTATGACATATAGGATGGGATTAATTTAAGAAAATTTCCTTAAAATATAAATTTTACGTAATTTAAAATAATGAGGCTATGACTTCACAATGAGAATTACAGCTTCACATTCTATGTCAAATATATGCTTACACCTATCTCTGAAAAAAAAAGGATGTAAACATGATTATTAAAATAGTTTCTATTACTATTAGAAAAGAGTATAGAGGGGTAGAAAAAAAGTCTGTGTAAAAATGCAATAATTCAGGCCAGCGCTGTGGTGTAGTGGGTTAAAGCCCTGGCCTGGAATGCCAGCATGCCATATGGACAATGGTTCTAGTCCCAGCTGCTCCTCTTCCAATCCAGTACTCTGCTATGGCCTGGGATAGCAGAAGATGGCCCAAATCCTTGGGCCCCTGCACCCACATGGGAGAACAGAAGAAGCTCCTGGCTCCTGGCTTTGAATTGGCACAGCTCCGGCCGTTGCAGCCATCTGGGGAGTGAGCCAGTGGATGGAAGACCTCTCTCTCTCTGTCTCTATCTCTCTCTGTAACTTTGTCTTTCAAATAAATAAAATAAATCTTTAAAAAAAATACAATAATTCAAAAGTGAAAATAACTGGATTTGACAGTGGAAGGAAAGAGAAGTAGCCAGGGAGCTATCAAAACTAAGATTTCTACTTCTAGGAATTGATTCAACAAATGCAGAGACTTGAATATTTCATTATTTGCAATACTGAAAAGTTCAAAGCAATGGAAATGTCCCATCCATTGGTAATAAGTCCTGTATATTAATGCAATGGAACATAATGCAGCATTTAAAAAAGATGAGGTGGATTAATAAATGTACATATAAAAAAGCTGGCTACAATATATTGCAGTTAAAAATGTGCCAAGTGAGTAGAAGCATGTTTAATATGAAACTTGCTTTGAAAAATTATTTTGGTTTAAAAAATAAACTTCCCGTGTCTGCTTATAAATAGAGAAAATAGTATTACCAGATAAGAGACAATATCTTAATAATGGCTTGGGATGGCACTGTGGAATAGTGGGTAAAGCCGTGCCTGCAGTGCCAGCATCCAATATAGGAGCTGGTTCAAGTCATAGCTGCTTCATTTCCAACCCAGCTCTCTGCTATGGCCTGGGAAAGCAGTAGGAGATGGCCCAAGTCCTTGGACCCCTGCACATGCATGGGAGATCTGGAGGAAGCTCCTGGCTCCTGGCTTCGGATTGGTGCAGCTCTGGCCATTGCGGCTAACTGGGGAGTGAACCAGTGGATAGAAAACCTCTCTCTCTCTCTCTCAGCCTCTGCCTCTCTGTAACTCTGACATTCAAATAAATAAATAAATAAATATTTTTTAAAAATGGCCACCTCTAGGGACCATAAGTTAGAAAAAGCTGAGCACAAACTTTATTTTTTACTTTACACACACACACACACACACACACAATGTCTATATATTATTGATACAGACTCCCATCTCTGTGAATGTGTATATCATATATCTAAGTTTAAAGTAGAAAATAAGAGTTTATAGTTATATACAAGGAAAATTATTTTTCTAAATAAGGGCACACTATATTTTCATAGGAACATGAACAGAAGAAAAATTCTAGTATAAATCAATGAAAAGAGCACAAAAATTGAACACAAGGGCCCAGACTCTACTTCCTGACATCTAGGCAACATTGGACAATACATTAAGGATCTGTCAGCATCCATGAGAACCACATGATACATACTATAGCTTACACAAAGCAAGGACACATTTTAAATGTTTCCAAAGCCCTGTATATATCATTTCCAACAGTGATTTTAGCATAAGTGATTCTAAAATTACATCCTCAAATCATTTATCAGAGATAGAGATTGTATACCAAAAAACAGTAACTTAAGCAGGTAAAGCCACCACCTGCAGCACCAGCATCCAATTTGGACACCAGTTTGAGTCCCGGCTGCTCCACTTCTAATCCAGCTCTCTGCTATGTCCTGGGAAAGCAGCAGAAGATGGTCCAAGTCCTTGGGTCCCTGCACCCATGTGAGAGACCCAGAAGCTCCAGTCTCCCGGCTTCAGATCACTCTAGTTCCGGCTGTTGTGACCATCTGGGGAGTGGACTATCAGATAGAAGACCTCTCTCTCTCTCTCTCTCTCTCTCTCTCTGCCCTCTGTAACTCTGCTTTCGGATAATAAATCTTTTTTTTAAAAGGACATCATTTTAATAC